AATGACGCACCATGAACTTCTGCTTATTTGTGGTCAGGTCAGCCACAAATGAATTACATTCATTATATATCACATATTCTCAAGACATTATCTGACTCTAAGCAACTGAATAACCAACGCATTCTCATCCTTTAATGTCATATAGAATGCTATATGACAAAACGGCGCCATACTACGCACATGGCACCCGTTATCGTTAATATAACACGTGCTGTGAGGGCTAAGTTTAGGTGTGGGGTAGGGTGTGCGTGTCATATTCACACTAAAGGATAACGTCTTGGGTTCCGCATATAGCGTTTTTGCATATAGCGTTCTATATGACGTTAAAGGATGAGAACGGGCTGGAATAACAGCTAGATGAAAAGTATACTGACTTGACTTATGTCTGACTGGTTATTTCTAAAGTAGTCAATATTGAATGAAACATATCTGAGATCTCCATTAAGCCTCTAAGCAATAACACTTTGATATCTCTTGACTCTTGTGGTTTTGCTGGCAGCAGTAAAGTCGGATAAGTGAGGATCATTTCTGTATAGATACACCTGCTGTCCCAGTGGGAAATGTGCAAACAGAGTTGATAATGCTCAGCGAATGTGCTCATGGTATAAACACAAGTGTGTGTGTTGCCTGGTGAACATACATTATGAGGACCAAATATCCCCACTATAAGAATAGAAATATCAGAAATCTTTTACCTCATGGGGAAATTTCTTTGTTCCCCATGAAGAAAACAGCTTATAAATCATAGAGATATTCTTTGAAAATGTAAAACTGCGGAGAGTTTTTAGGTTTAGGGGAGAGAATATAGTACATATATGTACAGTACATATATAATCTTTAATGAGAATTACAGAAATATCGTTTGAAAGCAAAAAAAAAATAATAAAAATCTTATAGTACTAAAATAGGCATAATATTTTTCCCTGTATTGATTTTTCACTTTTTACGTGTATTTTGATTTATGCATTGCATTATGTTGTGTTTTAGGGTTAAAGAAAATTGTCTTGTGTTGAAAATGTCTTGTGGGTGTGTGTACATAGGTACACAAACAACCTAAAATATAATTACATTTTTTTTCTTTTAATTTGATCTGAAATGTAATCTGGACACACATTTTCATGAGACTCACCCGTTAAACTGAATACTGTATTTTTTATGTGATGAAACTAGGCACAGGCAGACACCCATCGGATTTAGGATCACTGAAAACAAGAAGAAAAACAGCAGAGCGCTCAACTTTCACTCATTTTGGAGTGTAGAAATGCTAAACCCACACTTTTCATCCAACACACACACGTCAGCAGCCATCAGGCCTTCACCGCAGCACTGAACCGTACATCTTCATTTGAACATCAGCTCACTGTATGTTTATTGCTCTGGTCTGCTGGCTGGTCATGGCAACTCTTTTCTGGGATGTTTCCTTCTCCGCTGTTCCATTACTCACCTCTCAAATCTGCCGGCTAAGCCCAGTGAGCTCCAGTTTAAATCTGGTGTGAGCTGCCATTCTGATAAAATGGAAAATCTGGTTATTCACTGCAGATTTTCAGTTATTTGTAAATGTTTTTATTTGTTTCTCAACAGGTCTAACATACCTTAGCCGTTAATGGCACTTTTCCATTACCAGGAACCAGCTCGGCTCGACTCAGCTTGCTTTTCGTTCTGTTTTCCATTGCAGACAGTACCGCTACAAATAGTACCCGGTCATCATAGCGACCCCTTTCGTTCCTCGTTTTCCCATCAAGCTCTCGCAGGATCCTCACTTCGGCAACCAAACCAAGGAAAGTCTGCACCTCCTCGTTTGACCACGGCGTATTCTTCCGAGTTGCCATGATAATAGTAGTTAGTTTAGTAACTATCTATGGCCAAACTATTTAAAATTAGCGTGGTTACTATTCTGGATACTTCATCTGGCGCGTGTAATGATGCGAGTGAATGGTGACAATTCTCTCTGACCAGTCTGCATTGTTTTCACGTGACATTTTAGTATCGCCTTAGCTCGCCCAGAGCCCGTCTAACGGAGAGCCTTGGCACTTCCTATTAGCCCCGTTGTGTGTCATCTTGGTTGCAGTTCCATTAGAATTCCACTGGAGGTGATCGCGGGCGAGTGCAGAATGAATGGGAGTCTATGGGGCTAAACGGCTAAATGTATCTCTTTCTCCTGCTTGTCGTTAATCAAACGTAGATTTTATTGTTGATTCCGCAAGTTAAATTTAGGTTATAGGCCAAAAGTCGAATGAACGAGTACTTATGTCCTTTTGATTTCTTACAGGTTAGGCCGTTGTTGGCTGGAACACGCTAGCATTCTGCTATTGTGTGACGTCATCACATTTTTGAACAGATTTATAGAACAGATACGTGAACTTAAAAATGTAATTTTCAGCTGAGTGTATTATCTTAGCCCTCCCTTTTGAATGCAACTTTCACATTACTAGACAAAAAATTACATCCTGAGAAAAGTGGATTTCTGGGGGTGAAACACCATAGACTCCCATTCATTCTGCACTCGACGGCGAGCCACCTCCGCTGAGCCACGGTGTTTACCAAGTTGGACCTCTACAGCACATACAACATCATCCGGATACTTGAGGGGGACGAGTGGACCGCCTTTTTGACCCCTACTGGACTATGAGAATTTGGTTATGCCATATGGTCTAGTAAACACCCTATCCTTATTCCAGGACTTCATGCACAAGGTGCTCCAGGAATACCTTCACCGATTCGTCCTTGTCTACATAGAACACATCCTCATTTACTCACGGAGCATGGCTGACCATCGCATCACTTTGCGGAGGTCCTGAAACGCCTGAGGGAATTCCATCACTTCCTCAAAGTTGGGAAGTGTTCCTTCCACCAACCTTTAGTGCAGTTCCTTGGCTATAACATCAGTGACAAAGGTATCCAGATGGAAGAGGGGAAGGTGGAAGCCATCCAGAACTGGCCCACACCATCCACCATTAGAGAACTCCAACGCTTCCTTGCCTTCAGAAACTTTTCCAAACAGTTTATCTTCGATTACAGTTCCATCACCAGTCTCCGGCAGAACAAGCCCAGGTCTCTGTCCTGGTCACCATCTGCCAACGAAGCATTCTAATGACTGAAGAAGACATTCAATCCCCGCCAGGCCCCTTGATCCTTGTTCTTTACTCAATTTAATTTATCCATTTCCTATTGTCCAGGTTCAAAGAATGTGAAGGCTGACGCCCTTTCCCATCTCTATGCCGCAGAAGAGGTCAGCGAAGAACCCAGGCCCCTCCTACCACCCGAGTTGATCGTTAGTCCCATCCAGTGGTCTTCAGACTCCATCACCTCCTTCAATGCCTCCAACGCCACTCCACCAGGCTGTCCCCCCGGACGTCAGTATGTCACTAGAGCACAATGCACACCTCCGATTCATTTCCCACGTACATCTGCTGGTAAGAGATCGCTTCTGGCGGCCTAACATGACTAGGGATGTGAGAAGGTCCGTCCAAGGAAGTGCAAACTGTGGCATGGTCAAGAGTCCCAACTGGCCATGGTCATACCTGGAAATGGACTTCATGTTTGACCTTCCACTTTCTGTGGGTAACGCATGCATCTTCGTGATAATTGACAGATTCTCCAAATCCTGTTGTCTTCTCCCCCTCAAGGGACTACCCACAGTAATGGAAACAGCTCCTCTTCAATCTCGTCTTCTGATACTATGGACTCCCAGAAGACATTATATCAGACTGTGAGTTTATATCAAGGGAATAGAATGCCATTCACTATTCGAACGGTTAGACCGAGAGGAAGATCCAGAAAATTGGCTGTTTACTACGAACCTTCTGCCAGGGCCACCAGAACTCTTGGAACCAGGGCGTACTTAGTTTTCATGCGGTCGACTACTGGTTCCGAGAGAGCGAGAGGGTCTAGTACTCAGGTCACCACTAGCTCCAACTGGCAGTGGACCGGCGCAGGATGTGAGCCGAGATCAAACATGGTGAGACTCCCTCCTACCAACCAGGGTTCGGGCAAAAATTCTGAGCTCGAAGCCCTCCCCCTGGACAGCACGCCAAATACGCATAATCTTTACTCTGTTTAATTGATGTAAGTGTGAATATTTCGTTATATACCTTAACTATTGGGTTTACTTCTTCAATCAGCTGACTCTTTATTGTGAGACAATTAGCATACAGCATTAGCACCTTAGCTCCACCCACTTCTTGCCTTTGCAAATTTTATTTTATCCGGTAGTGACGAGAAGTGACGTGCTGCCAAGATGGCGCCGGCCGGCCAAGCCCGCTTTAGGCTTCAAAAACGCTCTTCAGAAACCTACGGGTGACGTCACGGACACTACGGTCATGTTTTTTTTATAGTCTATGGGTGTCACCCACATTTCATTGATTTTTTTAAAATGCATTTTCCAGCAAGAAATGAATACATTTCTGTCCAAATTTCACGTCTATCACAAAATATGGAACCTTGAGACTAAGACGTTTCCTATGGTGAGTGTTTCAAGAACAGAAAAGATTTTGATTATAAAATAGTTCAAATAAATTTTGTAATATGAAACCTGATACCGCCCACTAAAGGGAGTACCCCATAGTAACATAGTAATAACCAAAAAAATGGTTGTTACTATGGGGTACTCTGTTATTTTTAGTGGAATACTCTCTTTAGTGGGCAGTGGGAAAAAAAACAAACATTTTTTTTGATAAACAAAAATAGTTTTCCACTGGATGAAAAAGCTTTCGAATGATACATCAAAATGATGATTACTAAAATGTTACATGAAAAAAGATGATAAATAAAAAGAGCGCCAAGTTAAGCAAATTAAGCAAAAATAAATAAATAAAATAAAACTGTTCATTATTTTAAATATAGTTCAATTTTTTATTCCCTTCTTCAGCAGTGAACGTGTTTTTAATAGGAGAGAATACTAGACGAATAGGCTAGCCTACATCTTGTTTCAGAAATCTCCTCTTGTGGAGGTGTGTCGTGGGCTGGACTGTCTGTCACACACACACACACCGCAGAAAAAGCGCAGCAGAAATGCGGTTGTGATAAAGGACTGTCTTCCAAGTTCCATTACGCGCAATGAGTGATCTCAACGTGCACGCGCACAGTCCCTTTATTGAGCTCCGAACTGAGATGTAACAAAACAAGACACGGATGGGTCTCAGTGAAACTCTGCGGTTCGTGATATCTGATGGTGAGTACTCAAAGACAGGAACAAACTCGTCTTAAACTACTCTTCAGGTGCATCTCTGAAAGTCTTTTAGATATTTAAACTACTTTTTGGGAATGTATTTTGTAATGCGGAACATAGCTCTTTTTAAAATGTAGTAATTATTATTATTCAATCGGCATGTGGTCATGCATGGACACTACGACGAGCTTAGTGCAAACGACAAAACGTTATCTAGCTTAATCATGGATCATAAGATACCGTTAAAAAGTTTGTGGCCAGTAAGAAGAAATTAATACTTTTATTAAAAAATAACACGTCAAGAGTGAAGACATTTAATTATTATTATTTTACAAAATATGTAAAATTATTGCTGTTCTTTTGAACTTTCTATTCATCAAAGAATCCTGGAAAAGGTATCACGGGTTCCACAAAATTGTGCAGCAGCATATAGATAATAAATGTTTGATAAATGATCATATTCCAATGATTTCTGAAGGATCACGTGATGCTGAAGACAGGAGTAATGATGCTGAATTTACAGCTTTAATCAGAGATAAATTAAATAAAAAAACATACTACAATAGAAACATTATTTTAAATTGTAATAATATTTCACAATATTACTGGTTTTACCATATTTTGGATCAAATAACTGCAGATTTGGAGAGCAGAAGAGCCTTCTTTCAAAAACATTAAAAAATACAGTAATTATTCAGCACACAGTATATCTGAGTAGTAATTTTGTACAGCTACAATATTAATTTATGCTTGATAGTCGTGTTAATTCTTTATTGTCATCATGGACTTTAAGCATCATGGAAACGTCTCAGATAAAGTCAAAATGGTTTTCATGAAATATATGTGAGTGAAATAAAATGAAGAGCAGACCCATCAGCAACTGACTGAATCATGAAAGGGATGCTCTTGAAATATAAGAGATATCAATACAAGGAATAATTCACATGATACTCAATATGAAGATAATTTCAATGAAATCTGAGAGTTTTCAGTTCCTCCATTGACAGTCTACGCAACTAACACTTCAAAAAGTTCATAAAGAGATTGCAAAACTAAGCCTAAATTCAATCTGTCCATCCTATATAGCGATCGAGTCTCTTCAGATAATTTGGACTACTGCTCAATTCATATGGATTAGTTTTATAATCTCTCACTGAACTTTTTGAAGCATGAAAGTGGTAGTTGGACAGCTGTCAATGGAGGAGCCGAAAGCTCTCAGATTTCATCCAAAAGATCCCAGTTTAACGACATGAGGGTTGAGTGATGACAATGTTTGAATTTTTGGATGAACTATCCCTTTTAAGACCAGAGCAATTTTGTGTTCATCATCTGGTTCACTCCACAGGGAGATGTGTGCCACCGACATGACAGTACAGGGGTGAAGAACACAGCAAACGCCCGGCCGTCACCCGTCTCACCTGCCGAACACAGAGCGGCTTCATTTTCATGATCATCCTCATCTGTTGGAGGCGCTGCAATGATTAATCAACACATTTTCCTGCATTACAATTACACTGGGAAACTAGACAATCGCAATGAAACCCAAGAGGCCCCAATGGACCCCAAAACCGTGGTGTTTTTGGTCATTTGCAGCTTCATCGTCTTGGAGAACTTAATAGTCCTGGTGGCGATTTGGCAAAACCACAAATTTCACAACCGGATGTACTTTTTTATTGCCAACCTGGCGTTGTGTGACTTATTGGCCGGTGTCGTGTACTTAGTGAACTTGTTGATGTCAGGACAGCAGACGTTACACTTGTCTCCAGCCGAGTGGTTTGTTCGCGAAGGAAGTATGTTTGTGGCTTTAGGCGCTTCTATCTTCAGCCTGTTGGCGATTGCGATCGAGCGGCATCTCACCATGATAAAAATGAGGCCTTATGATGCAAACAAAAAGTACCGTGTGTTTCTGCTAATAGGCACATGTTGGTTGATCGCCATCACACTGGGAGCTCTGCCCATTTTGGGCTGGAACTGTCGCGATGATCTTCCTCAGTGCTCCACCATCTTACCTCTCTACAGCAAGAACTACGTGGCGTTCTGCATCACCATCTACATCTCGCTCCTGCTGGCCATCTCCGTCCTCTACGCCCGCATTTACATCCTCGTGAAGAGCAGCAGCCGTAAAGTCACCAAACACAGCAACTGCGAGCGCTCCATGGCCCTCCTGCGCACCGTCAGCATCGTGGTGGGCGTCTTCATCGCTTGCTGGACGCCCATCTTCGTGCTCCTCCTCGTCGACGTGGCCTGCAAGCCCAGAAGGTGTCCGGTTCTGCTCAAAGCCGACTGGTTTATCGCCCTGGCCGTCGTGAACTCCGCCATGAATCCCGTCATCTACACGCTGGCCAGCAGGGAAATGCGAAGGGCGTTTTACAAGCTCGTATGCGGGTGTTTGGTGCTGGACGGCATCGTGGGTTGCAAGCAGAACACGGACCCTAGCAGGAGCAAGTCCAGCTCCAACTGCCCACGGGCGGCTGAACAAGAAAACCCAGACGCCAATTCATAGTTTTCAGTCACGTGACTGTTGCGGAGAGGGCAAATACTGCAGCACAGGCCTGTCAAATTTTAAATATTTATTTCACAAAGATATGTGAAGTTGTTTTGGCCACTTGCGATCCATATACAGAAGTTTCCCAAGAGCAGCGCAAAAGCTTTCATAGGTCGTAAATAATGGCGCAAATACCTGTAAAGTGACAAGAACAATCTTTAGTAAATCACCTTGCATGACTCATTTAAATACTCTCCTCCTACACGTCGCGTTTGAAAAACAAACTCCTACAAATGCATATGCAATAAGCTCAGCTCCCTGTCCACGCATTTAGTAAACCCTGACAGTAGTTTTTTTTTAAAGCAGCACTATGCAGTTTTCGCCGGCCGCAGCAGCAGGAAGTGTCGCGTGATATCAGGTCTCGCGATGTAACGAATTGCTTTACGGCAAAAAAAATCTGCTAAAATGAGCATAAAACAGAAATAACCCGGCGCCGTATACATATGGTGTTCGAGGCGCATACAATACAGACTGCCCACAGTTCAACAGGGCGCAGCTCTTAAAGGGGCCACACCTTAATTTCACTCGTTACAGCTTCCGTCCTACTGAACAGGTACCGATATACAGGGAGAGGGGATCAGGCCGTGAGTGCAGAGACATCTCTGCGTGAGTGCCATTTACGACAAGTACTCCACAGCGACTCTAGGGGTCACAGTTTGACAAAAACGGAAATCCTGCATAGTGTGGCTTTAACGCCAAAAAAATAGTTTGCACTGGCGCAAGCCCTTAACTTAAATAAACCCCAAAAAAACACTCAACGTTACACATAATGCACCAAGTGATATTAAAAGATCAAATTCATTACACAACTTATTGACAATTTATAGCTTGAATGCGCGAGGCTTCCGGTGTCATCCGCTTCCAGTTATTTTTAGCTGGACAAAACAGGGTGTTACGCTTCTTGATATTGTAAACTGGTAGGCTATATTATTATACTATTCAAGTCAGCATGAAACGTAAGTTGCGATATTTTTGTTCCTACTGTGACGTAATATGATCCGAGTGAAACGGCTTATGAAACAAGAACAAATACAGGGCCCTCGTCATCAGAGAAGAGATGATGCATGAAAAAATGTGCGTGGATAAATCATTTATATAACAAATACTGTAATATTCTATAAAAAAAAACAAAAACAAAGATTCATGGTGACTTTAAAGCTACACTGTGTAACTCTTTTAGTTTATTCTTAGCTAAAAACACTTAGTTCTTTCAAAAATATTTATGCTCATTAATGTATATTTACTTTGTTCAAGTAATAAAGTATTCTCGTGAGAGTATAATATGCCATTGAAAATACATACGGGTAAGGGGTTCTAATGTCGGTCGCCATGTTGCCCCTCCATCTTGAAAGTACATTAGCCAAAGAGGGACATACCCGTTAATTCAAGCTTTGCCTTTCGCGTTTACGTTTGAGTTAACACTCATGGACGAGGTCGAACTGGAAGCCATGTTAATCTTGGACTACATTGGCCACCGACCGTAGGAGTTAAAACGAAATCGGAATTGAGAGGAACAGAAACTTATATTCACTGGATGGTCATATACCTTTTCACCGCTAAATGGGGGTAAAAAATCACACAGTGTAGCTTTAAGCCATAATAAGCATTTTCTTTACAATGGTCTTGTATGGGAAAATGTACTACATTCATATTCTGGATTCATCTGTCTTCGTAAAGTGTATACTGAGTTTGGTCTTTTAATATCACTGTCTTAATACTTAATAGAGTACAAACCTGATCAAATAACAGGCGGGTAGTGAGGACAGCCTTATCCTTCCCTCCAGGTGTGACATCACGTGAAAACTGAATACACACGGTACACAAATCAACCCACCGAATCTTGACAAAACCTAAAGCACTCAGAGTGTTTACTAAGATACACACAGCATAAGTGCATGATATACAACTTTAGAATGCACCTTTTAAGTGCACTTTAAAATGTTGTTGCACAATAAAGCATCCGCACATGTTAAGTGCATATTGACCCAAAGTCAGCAAGCAGTTCTAATGTACTAAGATAGTGTAGCTATAACAAAACAGATGCATCATTTTACATCCCAACCTTATGATTCTAATCGATAAGCTCTCAGTTCTTAGATAGGACATACCAAACTGATTTAACAATTATATAAATACTGACTATTTATATTGTGCTATGGTTAATGATACCCAAAGTATTTTATGCCAGGTGTTTATATTGTATACTAGCATGTTTTCCACTTTTGTCTTGTATATAGGTTGTTGATATAACTTAATTGAAACGTATCTAAACTGTTACCAAAGGACTAAAAAGAACATTCATACAAGATCTGTCTGTATGGAGTAGATGTGGGCTGCTGGAAAGTTATTTTAAGATTAAAAGCGTAATGTCTTAAACCAATGCAGCTGTTTATGGTAAAGCGTGTCGTTCCAGGTTAGTGTGTGTGTAAGTGTGATAGAATACTGTACTTGTGCCCTCTGCTGGACACACACACAAGTAGCACAAGATCAACTCCAGTGCTCGTGATCATCGCATGTATATCTCACTGCAGCATTAGCGCATGCTATAGCTAGGACTTACACATGTTTATATTTCCCTTTTAAGTGCACTTTAAAACATTAGTGCATACTAAAGTACACAATAAAGCATCAGGACATATATAAGAATTGAAACAAATACTGCCACGATTTAAAGTCTTCTATTACATTCACATTACAGCTATGCTAATATGCTAAAACGTTATGCTAATGCAAACTGAGTGATGGGATAAAAATGGGATACATTTTCTTGATGTAAAACATAATTTCTTGTGTATTTATTTTGAATTTGAACTATGATTCTTTGCAGGTTCTGTGAGATTCAGCCAATCAGTAACACACATTGATTGTTTTATTGCCACAAATCATAAAGAATGAATAAGTCATGAGCAAAGATTATTCCTGTGAACACAGTTTTGTGTGTGTAGGGTTTTGTCACCTGTGATCTTCTGAGCGTCACAGCTGAAGGGGAATGCCGAATGCGATCAGAGAACACAGATGAGCTTTGACGACTGCACTTTATAAGAGAAAAGCATGAGAGCACTAATAAAAGGCACGTTTTGCTTAACAGAACTTATTTGGCCAATCAATTTAAAAATTCTATAATGAATAACTAGGAGCAGTCTAGTTAGGATAGTGTTGGAGCATTATAAAAACAGTAAAACCACCATTGTTTAGTTGGAGTCAGTTTAATGTGTATAATGTAACAGAACATCTTTCCCTAACATTAGTCATTTAGATAAACATGTGAAACAGACTCTGCTGGGATTTGGCAGTTTAAATGGGGAAAGTCGTCACCGCTGGAAAATCCTTAGGTCATTTCGCAGACTACAAATGCATGTTGTGTTCAGAATCACTTTAGAGGTTAAGATGCAGATTTCTCACTGGTATCGAATCCACCAGCAGTGTCCAGCGCCCTTTAAAAACAGCATTTCAAGATTTAGAGTTTGTGTCATGAAGCAGTTTAAGCTGAACTAGTCTTTCTTTTCCAGACCTGTTGATTCACACTTTAGTTTTGACCAGAATAATGCGACTTTGACTCGCAAAATAGAGGGTGATATATTTATCAATAAAAATATGCACATGTAAAACTAATGGTTTTATTTTGTGCTGAAGTTCGAGATTTTTTTCTTATTTTAATATTAAAATAAATGCAAAATAATTCAAAATTATATCACACACAGATATGAGATTATTTTCTCATTTTAATATAAAAAATTAAATGTAAATAATTTAAAATAAATGTAAAATAAAAAGGATTTAAAACTAAATATATGAGATTATTTTCTCATTTTAATATTTAAAAATAATTCAATTACATATAAATAATTTAAAATAAATGTAAAATGAAATGACTTCGAACTAAATATATGAGATTATTCATCCTGTGCCTGCAAATAAATATTTCCAGAGTTTAATGTGACAAATGTCAATACATAAATATATGTGTTGTGTTTGTGTGAGAGTGACAATATTTAAAGTGATGCAAACAATAACAACAATCATCAAAATGGCCTATTTTGAGAAAGAAAAAAGATCCATAGTTGAGCATATATGAAACTGCACACAGGTCTTCACATCATTGATTCTAGGCTACAAAACCTATTTAATAGCAATGCAAATCACAATTTAAGTGAATTTAAGGGTGAATCTCACAAAGATAGGTCTAGTTTCATAAATAACCAATTAAATTCAACAGAAAAAAGCTTAATTTTCTTAATTTTGATTTTGAGGCCAATTTCTTGACATTTTTCTAATTATATCAGATGCAAATTTCATTCGTCCGAAATGTGGATTTAAAGACAAAACTAAATGTTTACGGTTGTGATAAACATGACTTTTACGTGTGGCTAAAACAGTGAAAAATCCAATGATATTCCAGTTCACCCAGTGATTAGACTGTGACTGGAAATAGTTGATTGTGCTATTCACTTAGAACCGTTTCATTGAAAATAATCATAAGAAGAAGAATTATGATACCAATTTGTCTGTTTGTGAAGCCCACAGTCAAACCATGAAAGTCCTAACTGATAGAAACATCCAAGGTATAAAGTAAGCCCCGAACCGAGCGACTACACACCTCTGACACGTTTAAAGAAGGAGCTAAGCTCAATGAATACTGGGAAGCATAAATATTTAACATTGTGAGCATACACAAAAGCTCCTCCGCTGGGGCTCTGGATGCTACCAACAATCAGCACAAGTACAGTTAAGTTAAGTCATGCGAGTGCCACAGGTTTCAACGTCATACAAAAATGTAGGTACTTTAAAGCCGTGTGTGTGTGTGTGTTTTGGTCGTGGTGTGTGTACGTGCAGCATGTCGGAGTGTGGTTTCTGTTAAAGCAAACACATTCACGTCATCTTCCCTCTGAAAAGCATAATCAACAGTGATTCGATAGAAGCTACCAAATGATCTGGCACACTAGCTGCAGTAAAGGACACACTCCTAAAATAGGTCAATATAAACAGCTTTTTGTTTTCTCAAATATTTGTTTTCCTTCCATCTCTTACCGACGAACGTTAAAATCCGGTTGTGCTTGATAGACAAAACTAAAACTTTTTTATTCTAAAATACTTTTTCTTTATCTGGGTTTTCCTCTCATCCCCTCTTGGAGGTCGAGTTCCAAACCTCCCGACTTTGCAACGAAATCCATCAGCGTCTTCTTCAAAAATATAGATTCTCGACCAGCGCAATAAAATAACTGTATCAGTTCTATAAATCGGGTTTCGACTCCGCTTTCGTCCTCTAAAAACGCTGTCCTCCGTCGTCACAGTCAAGCAGTTTGACAGCCGTCACATGTTCGCCGACGGAAAGTTTGTTTTCGTAAAACTCCCACGTGTTTTCAGGTGTCGTCACTGTTTTCTTTCGACCGGCTGCTTCAAACACAGTTCGCTTCCTGCCGAGACGATTGGCAGGTTGTTGTCACGGTGATGGCCAATCAGGTGGCTTATGCTCTCAAATATGTGATCTTTCGTCCGAACCTTAAGGAGACATAAATTTGATTTGAAAGATTAAGCACATAGACGCTTGCATGTTCGCTACTGTTTAAACGTAAAGAAATTCATACTTTTATTCGGCAAGGTTGCATTCAATTGATCAGGGGACAGTAAAGACATTTCATAATGTTTTTACTTATGAAAGAATCCTTAAAAATGTATCACGGTTTGCACAAAAATAACAACTGTGTCAACATTGATAATAATCAGAAATGTTTCTTGAGCAGCAAATCATCATATTATTAGAGTGATTTCTGAAGGATCATGTGACACTGAAGACTGGAGTAATGATGCTGAAAATACAGGTTTACCCACAGGGATAATTTACATTTTAAAAAATACACACAGCTATTTTAAATTGTAATGATATTTAAAAAAAAAAAAATACTGTGCTTTTGATCAAATGACTGCAGCCTTGGTGATCAGAAGAGAGGAAATTTATCCTGAGGAAGATACATTGCAGTATTTCTATGCGACTGATTAAATGGATCATGTGACTCTAATGTGACACATTTACTTCTTAAATTCATGTTCAACTTTTCACTCCAAAGGTTGCTCATTCAACTTCAATGTTTGATGAAACTACAAACAAACCCAAAATAGAAGCATTTTCTCTGGTTCTCTAGAGACGTTTGCACCCGCTGATTTCCTGTGTGATATTTATAACATCAATGCTCAGAGCGGCCAGGGTATTTTTAAGAAATACTAAATATATCCATTTTTCAACTCATTCTCATGGATAAAATGACACTTTAGCAACATCTATTACAGGCTTTATGGAATTAGTCAAATGAACTATAGGTGAATATAGTAAAGCTGTGACCGACCAAAGGTTTGCCTAGTCTACTAGTAGTTGTTCATTTAAGCCATTAATCAACTAGTAGCAAGTTTATGATATCAATTGAATTACTTAAAGGAATAGTTCACCCAAAAAATGAAAATGCTGTCAGTAATGACTCACCCTCATGTTGTTCCAACCCCGTAAGACTTTTAGTCATCTTCAGAACACAAATGAAGATATTTTGATATTCTGATTAAATCTGAGAGCTGGATCACTCCTCCATAGGCTCCTAAGGGATTGATTCTTGACGGCTCAGAAAAGTTCTTAAAGACACCGTTAAAACCTTAAGTTCATCAAGCGACGAGTGTGTGCAAAAAACAAACAAAAATAACGACTTTATTCAACTATTCATTTCCTTCTCTGTGTGCCTCGAGAGAGTTCACGTAGTCTCACCATTGGCCGACGCTGGACCCAGAAGCGCTGCGTAGGCCCACAGAGAAGGAAATAAATAGTTGAATAAAGTCGTTATTTTTGTTTGTTTTTTGCGCACAAAAAGTATTCTCGTCGCTTGATAAAGCCACTGTAGTCACTTGGACTATTTTAACAATGTCTTAAACAGTGATGAAGTTCTCGAGTCCTTATTCTCTGGACTCGAGTCCGACTCGAAACTCCATTCTCTGGACTCGTGACTCGACTTGGACTCATGGACCGATGACTCGTACTTGGACTCGCATTACAAACCGAACCATTACAGTTGGACCATTTTTCCTGCCGACCAAAATCTGCACTGGCGCGACCACCTAACATTGTGCAACATCAAATGGCAAATGTAATGAAAGCGGAACGAAACTCATTTTGTGCTTCACGGACCTTTATCAGTTTGGACAATCAACAACAGCGCTGGGAGAGATCCAGTAAACAAACAAAGCATTTGAATTCGCCACTGAATATAACATTGTTGCGAGATCTAGTGAGAAGCACTGACATTTCTCCGTTATTAACCGATCGAACAGCACTGACGTGGTGTGAATGAATTAACTAGTTATAGGTTTTAAGTTCAGAGATCAGCAACATTCACCGTGGATTTAATGTAGTAACACTAACTTGTAACCATAGAAGTTTGGCAAAAAAGTATCCTACATCACCCATCTTTTTTCCAGCACTTCAAAACTCAAACAGAATTATATTTAAAAAGATATTTTTAATGTGATGACCAAAATCCTTCATCCTTCAAAGATTACCCCATTTATAAAACTAAAAGTTTCAAGATGTAGGAAAACACACTTATTTAAAATGTTAATTTTTTTCTTTTAAGAAATAGGACATTTCTCTGGCATTACTTTGCTGTATCGAAAACACCCCTACTAAATAGGTTATACAAATTTGATATAAGATGTTACACTTTTGCTGTTAGGGTTAACAACAATGAAAGTAAATGCATGCTTTTGATGGCGTTGTAAAGTGTGTTGCAAAGTGTATCAAATCAGTAAATAAGCTCCCTTTGCAATCGTGACAGTGGTGTCATTTTTGTTCAATGTAGAACCATTTTATCAGCTCTTTAACCCCTTAGCTGTCACCCCCCTTTTAGAGAATGGGGGTTAAAATGCACCATTCAAACTTAAATGGTTGTAATTTAAGAATGCTTTGGAATATATACTCAAGTTTGGTCTTGTTTTAAAGAAAACACTCAGCAGAATATTGCTGAAGTGAAAAAATGAAAGTATGAAAAAGTTATGAAAGTTTCAATTTACAGTAAATCAAATATACTGTACTATATATTTTTTTATTTTATATAAAATATATATTTTACAAAATATTTTTTACTCTAAAATTTCTATAAAATCAAAGCCATAAATCTTATAAACTTATGTTCCAAATTTGAAGTTGATATCACAAAAATTGAAGTTCCCATGAGGTTTTGTTAAGGCGTAGTACCAAAAATAGCCACCGGGTGCCATTGAATTTCATTGAATTTAGTTGTAAACATTCTGCCTTAACAAATTAATACATTTCTGTCCAAATATCAATTCAGTCACAAAATTTGGAACCTTGAGACTCAGACCTTTCTGACAATATGTGTTTTGTCAAGATTAGAAAAGGTTTTGATCATAAATTATGAAATATAATGATGCCCAAAAGGGGAGGAGCCTGATAAAATAAGTACCGTTTCTATGGTAACGCAACGTTCAATTATAAAACAGTTTTCACACGATGAATTCTGAGTTTATAAGCTTTCAAATGATACCTAATTTATGATAACTACTAAAATATGTGATATAATAAAAAAGGCGATAAAAAATAATATTATATTTTAGAGGATAATAAATATAAATATTATCAATTTTAGAGGATAATATTATACTATATTTTTTATTTTTATTGAAAAATACTAGATTATATGTTTTATTATGAACTTTTAGCATAAAAATAGAATTTTCAATGATTAAAAGCATGATTATGAAGCAGATTTTTTGAGGTGCACTCTTGTCACTCATCCTACATAATTTTTAACACAAAAGAGGGGTAGAATATCTATTTAGAAGTCTTAGACCTTTCCAATGATATATAATTTGTCATAATTAGATTAGGATTTAATAGAAATATAGTGAAGTAAAATTAGGCGTCCCGGTACCGGGACTGTGACGGTTAAGGGTGCCAGAGAGGAGACATGTTGGCACTGGGGGCTCGAGACTCGACTCGAACACGGGACTCGAGACTCGACTCGGACTTGAACTCAGGTAATGGTGACTCGACTCGGACTCGAACACTGGGACTCGAGACTCAACAGTTTGGTGACTCGACTACTACACTGGTCTTTAATAACTTTCTGTGCTGGCAAGTTTCAATCCCTTAGAAGTCTATGGAGGAGTGATCCAGCTTTAATCAAAAATATCTTCATTTTTGTTCCGAAGATGAACGAAAGTCTTATGTGACAGTCTAACAACATGAGGGTGAGTCATTACTGACAGCATTTTCATTTTTGGGTGAACTAACCCTTTAAATATATGGAGGTGTTGCGGGGGTGGGTGGGAAGCATCAGAAAATGGTTTGAGATTCAGGACTGAGCCAGTATATACTTTATGTACGATTGCTTAAATGTTGCTGTTTGCATTTAAACGGGCAAATTCTTAAGAGTCTATGATTGGATCATTATTGCAGTGATTATTATGTTTATAGCACGTTATGTGTTTGGCAACAGTTCTTCTAACCCGAACTGATGGAGTGTGTAGCTGTTCATTTCCTTAAACACACATGTATGAAGACTCATCATGGCCGTATTCCAGGATGACAATGTCAAGATTCATCAACATTGAGATAATGGTTGTGAAGAGCATGAAGAATTATTTCACACATGAATTGCATCGCAACATTTGTTTGCATTAATTATTTCCATCAAAAGGTGCATACATTTTTGGTCAAGAACAAGTATTGACAATTCGAACAACCATTCTCTCACAAGCCTTGATGAATCTAAATCTTGTCATCCTAGAATATGGCCATGATGTGTCTACATACATCACATGTAAAGTTACACACTCCATCAGTTTGGCTTAGAAGAACTGTTGCCGAACATATAACAGACTGGTGACTTTTCTTTGGCTGTGCAATGTACTAAACCATAATGAGCCTTTAAAAGATAAATTAAGTGCACATTTTGAAAATTTTAATGAAGTGGACGAGGCTGACTATAGAGAGAAATGCACGTTAATTTAAAAATGGAAGTAAGCGCTGTGCTAATTTAGCTTCCACACACACTCCACATGAACACTTGGAAATGCACCTAATAATAGCACACATTTATCTAGGTTAACGTTAGAGTGAGCGGCTAACTTTAGGCTACTACTAATATGTTAAAAAGTGAGAAGTCGATGAGTGTTTGGATTTCCAGCCTGACATAATTACCACATGGATCAGCCGTCTTAACGATCTGTCCATCAGACTTTGTTTCTTTCTGTGACCAACCAACTAATTAACATCTGGTCGACCAAGCCTCTTCTTATCGACTACATTTAAAGTCAAACCAAAAATTAGCAGGACACTTCATTTATGTATGTGAGGATAGGAAAATAAAGAAAACTCTGACATTTTATACCCCCAAATTCTTCATACAGTGACTACCACTGAAATGTATACAAATTTGGACACTTTGACCTGACCATGTTTTGCTTAAGTATATTTTAACCACAGACTGAACAAAATGAAGCATTACTTGGCAATTTGTTGACCTAAATTAGTATTGTCTAATTGTGTAGTTAACCCTCCGGTGCTCTTTGTTTCGGAGTCACACTTGTTATCTTCTCGGTCAAAAGTGACCGGACACCTAAAAATTAAATTTCCTTCATCCCAGTACAACCAATGTAATTTATTTTTGTTCTATAATATTTATTCTTTATAATTTAGTATTTTGAGACAATTTGATTGAATTTATTAATATTTATGCAATATTTATGGTCTATTTTTGCCATGGAAAAATATATATATTTTTCTATATATATTTTATTTTTTTCAAAAAATTATTAGTGCAGTATTTTAGTTATAGAGTCTAGACCTTCAGAAAAAAACCATCTGGTTACAGTATAGAGAAAAAGCGTAGAATCATGGTGTAACCACTAGATGGCATGTACAGCTCTCTATGGAGAAGCATGTGAATTCCCCAGATGTTTATGAACACATTTTTTTCGTGGATTTGAATATATAGTTAAAACAATCACAAAAACGTTTTTTATAAAAAAAAAAAAAAAAAAAAAAAAAAAGTGAATTTTTGTGTTTTGTCAATTTCCCATTCATTTCCTATGGGGGTCATTTTTGACCAAAGACCACAAGTGTGACTATTTTTTTTTAAGACCACTTAGCATGCTCAGATCATGACCTCAATTTTTGTGTGTTCACATACATAATGCCATAAAAGTCACCAAGTTTCGTAACATTACGATGAAGCTGTGATTTTTAAAAGTCCAAAACATACTTTTTGTAATCAAAATTTATTGGTGTGTATGTGTATAAAAGTGTGTTTGTATGTCTGTGTTTGTTGGTGGGTTTGTCTGTTTTGCACTCTAGATGTTGTAGAGTGTCACCCCTTTCCTGCGGTGTACTTTTTTTTTTTAGAATTGTGGCTGTCTTGTAGATTGCACGTACAAAAATTCAGACAATTTTTTTTTTTTGGTCAATTTCCCATTCATTTCCTATGGGTCGGTCATTTTTGACCGAAGACCAGTGTGTGACAATTTTTTTTTACAACCACTTAGCATGCTCGGATCATGACCTTAATTTTTTTTGTATTCACATACATAATGCCATAAAAGTCACCAAGTTTCGTAACATTCCGATGAAACTGTGATTTTTCAAAATTCAAAATAAAATTTTTTCCGGTCAGAAATGACCGAAGAGCACCTGAGGGTTAAATTTAACAGCGGACAGATATTCAAGCGCATTCATTTATAAGAGTCTAACAGAAAGACGGACAAAACCAGTGAAATATCAACTGATTTGATAACTCTGAGTTCTTCTTGTCATATTTTAATACCATTTTTTAAACGATCGCGAATAAACTGTGATAATGTGAGACATGTTGAAGGCATCTGAATGAATGTTGGTTTGACAGCCGTAGTGCATAGTCCTCACCGTTCCCTCTGGATCGACCAGCAGCAGGTGTTTGGCCAGGCCGTTGTGCATCCCCGTCAGCACGTATGACCCCGGGTTTGTGGCGCTCTTGCGCACCAGGAAGTCTCCGTCGTGGAGCAGCAGTTTCTCAGCCTGGCGCCGGCTCATCTCTCCGTGATACCACGCGTGGTCCTCCAGCTCCTCTTGAGCTCTCAGGGCGGCCGCTCGCATCAGCAGCGGACTGGAGTTATCCACGGACGCCGCTTTATGCAGTTCTGAGGCTGGAGGAGCTGGAGACTGAGTCATGATGGCGTCCTCAAACGGCTCTGAGGGCGTGAGCACACAAAACCTGTTATCGCATGAACTCATTTTTTATTTCATTGCAAAACATAACTTTATCCGCATACAGGCTACATTCACACAGTGGATTGACAACCACATTTACTAATCGAGACTTCAGGCATTTATGTGATGAAAGTCAAGTCGACACGGACTAGTTGCTGATGATGTCACTGATGAGCAAATAAGACTGGAGTCTGGACCTCGAGCTGAGACTGAACACGGGTTGTCTTGTGCTCATTGACACAGCGCTCCTACATTACAGCTTATTCTGATCAGTACTTTTGTCTTTTGGTCGTTATATTTCTCAGATTTCAGCTCTTCTAAATCAGATACAGATAAAGTTATAAATAAACAAATAATTCTACCTGGCGGCATCTCTCTACTAATAGTGAAGCTCTGGGTTTGAGTTACTAAGAAATATATGCTAGAACTTTGCAGATTCTAAGCTATTTTATAGATAAATCACAGAACTAAGTTTACAATATATTTCTCCTCTACTGAATGATTTTTACATGATTTGGATCTTTACTATCTGTGTGTGTGTGTGTGTGTGTTACAATGCAGCAGCAGTTTAGAACGAAAGATTAACTTAAAGATGTACAATAAGCTGTGTAAAACGTGCATTCACGCGATCAATTTTGAACATCCAGATGGCAAAATCAAACATATCTTGTGGAGGGCTCTCGGAGTATGCATTTATTTGTCATTTAGGAGGAGCGTCCAAAAGAAGTCCAAATTAAACATGATTTAATGACTCGTAAATTTAAGTACACATTGATGGCCCAAGACAAGAAACGAGCGGTTTGTGTGAGAAAACGAACAGTATTTATATGGTTTTACCTCTTGTAACCACAGCCACGTCCAAGTGGTCTGAAGGCACGGGCGCTTCGGTCTGCGCAAGCACCGGAAATCGCTGGAAGTGATCTCTCGCGCGATTGGGGAAAAAAAAAAAAAAAAAAAAATCAACGTTCTCTGTTGATATATCGAAATCGTCTTCCATTGCGATTTCCTGTATATCTAAATATGTTTAGATCTTCACAGTGAAGGGTAACACTTCCGAAACCTCTGTGTAAACAATGAGTGACATACACACAGAACGAAGCACCCGCTCCCTCAGAGTACTTGGACGTGGCTGTGATTACAAGAGGTAAAAACAATAAATACTGTTCGTTTTCTCACACAAACCGCTCGTTTCTCGTCTTAGGCCATCAATGTGTACTTACATTTACGAGTCATTAAATCATGTTTAATTTGGACTTGGACGTGCATGCTCTCATGTTTAATTTGGACGTGCATGTTCTTTAAGGTGGTGACCATAGACCTGCATTATATGACTGATAGACAACAACGGTTTGACCTAAAAATATCAAAATTGAAAATACTGTGGAAACAAAGACACCAACATCTTGGATGCCCAAAACATAACATACCAATTACGAGGTAAGCTAAAACATACCAAAGATTAATTTCAAAGTAAGTCGACTAGTCTGTTCAACCCCTACTCTTTAGTGCTTTTCACCAAATCAAATCATCGGAAGCTATTAGCAGCAACATTGAAAGCTCCAGTCTCCGTGTCTCTTACTCATGTCAAAGAGGTCCTTCCTCGGGCTGTCTTTAGCTGTCCCGGTCGTGCCTGAATCAGACGCCGCCTCTGACTCTCCCTGCAGGGCGGCCAACACCTGTGTGTCAATGTGCTGCGTGTTCACATATGTGGGGACTTCTCCTGCTTTAGGGGCTTGACCTTTGACCTCAGGGAGACTGTATATGTCACAGGACCCTAAATGAGACAGAAAAGACAGAAAAACAAAACCGTGGTAACATTCTTCAAAATGTCATATTTTGTGTCATACAGGTTTGCCACAAAGGTTTTCAAAAGTGAATTGTACCTTGCTGGAAGAACATGGGTCGGCCCTGGTAGTATGTCTGGTCGACTCCAGCGCCCTATGTGGACAGCATATGAGTTATCAACAACAATATTGAAATGCCTCCTCATCTCTGACCTGCTGGAGTCACATTCACTGACAGACAGGAAACAGAGCCCACACTATAGGAAGTCATTTACTAATATCAACATTTATACAAGTTATTAAGACGCAGATCATGTGGAATGTGATCTTTTTTAATAATACCTATTACATTTCCCATGATTACATATAAAGTGGCCAGGTGGCGCACTTTTACGTCTTTTACCCATCCAGCCACAGCATATTGATAAGCATCAGTACTCTTAAAAGCCTTCAAGTGATCGCCACTGTATGGGGAGGGGTTACGCACGATATATATAATTCTCATGGAAGGCAAATTGGGGCAAGTCTGGGGCAGATAATAATGGATAAAAGAAAACTGGGGGTAACAAATAAGGATCGGGGCCTAAAATTGAAATTTTCTCCAGGTATCTCTGTCGCTCTCTCTCATTTACATGGGCAGTCTGGGCGGCCATACCGGGTGAGATCGGTCGTAAATATGGCGGCGTTCTATTCGGAGTGACGTAGGTGGCATCTATGAATACAGTAATACTGTACTGTAATAACTTCTGTTAAGTTTTTATTTTATTTGTATTCATTTATTTGTTATTTTATTTTAATTATTATATATGTTTGTGGGAAAGTTGGAATAGTTCTGTATTTTGAGTTGTTTCTTTTGATATAATAACAAAATATAATATTTATTTATTTTACTTTTAATTATTATATATGTTGGAGTGGGAAAGTTGGAATTGTTTTGTACTTTGTGCTGCTGGTTTCGATAATATAACAATATTTAATATTTACTGTTTTGATTATTTTAATTAAATTATTAAATATTTTGGAGTGGGATAGTTGGAATTGTTCTATATTTTGTGTCACCGGTTTCCATATTATAACAATATTAAATTTTTACTTAATTTTTATTTTAATTGAATTATTATATATGTTGGAGTGGGAAAGTTGGAATTGTTTTGTGTTTTGTGTCAGTCATTTCAATATTATGACAAAATAGAATTTAAATTTAAGTACCATTAATATCAGATATGTTTGTTTCCCTCAATTTAAAATAGTCCCTCGATTCATTTTAATGACCCAATTTCTTTTATGAACAGAAATGAATACTATGTTTTATGATAACGTCATCATAGCATAATCCTTTACTCTCATTATTTACCAAAACACATGTACCGCATTTACAGAACGAACTGAGCTTGAATGTATTGATCCCTGGTCAGGTCACTTCCTGTCAGCTGGTATAAACAGCGCATGAGTGTGTGTGAGTGACTAGTGCTGCAGACCTGGCTGCTGTCTTGCGTCTGATTGGTCAGCCTAGCATCAATGAATCCTCCTGGTGGCGGCATCTTGCCGGGAATGCTGTTGTAGTAGTGATGATCGGCGGACTCCTCCCCTTCCTCTGTCCACGGGGGCTCGTCCGTACTCATAACCCTGAAGAGAGGACACATCAGATGTAGAAGCAGCCTCAGACTCAGAGTCCTGAAGTGTGTGTGTGTGTGTGTGTGGACTCACTTGTCGTGCATGGATGAGGGTTTGCTGGACGGACACTGCAAATAGAGCTGAAAGCGCAGGTCAAACGCCTGACCGATCGTACTGATCACATCCTGAGCCAGACCGTCAGAGCACTCCAGAATATGACATGCTAGAAATCAACACACAGTCAGGGTGAATCTCACCAAACCTGTCAAGATGGGTCATATTTGGGTCAAAATGGGTCATAATTCACCCCCCCATAGCCAATTGCAAATTTAACCTTTGAAATTTTCATTAGTTTAGTACGAAAAAAATTATGCTTTTAAAATTGTGATGCTTTTGTACATCATGGTAGCATTTATTGTACTGCCTATATGTTCATTTAAAAATAATTGTATTGCAGTACAAACATGTAAAAATACTATTACAGTGACACACACACACACACACACACACACACACACACATATATATATATATATATAAAGCCTTTTGATTTTAAATACTCTAATTCCAAATGGGATTTTTTATTTGTAAAAATGATTTCAATAATTTAACAACAAATTTGCATGTTCACAGTTCTCTGATGCTGGTTAATTGTCACAGATAGCCTTTAATTTCGAAATGATTATTTCAAGTTTAATTTTTTTGGGATTAAATGAATTATTATTTAATAATTAATAATTAAGCTAATAGTTATTAAATGAATGAGCTTTTCATGTCCTCACAAACCAACTACAGTTCTTTCACAAGTTTTAGAAACCGTGCATTATGATAATGAGAATTTTGAGTGAAAATGTGTTTAATTTTCAGAAAACACTTTGTCACATTGTCTGTATGCAAATCCAATTTTCTGAATTTACTTTTTTTTTAATTTTAGGGTGAATTGTGACATGAACATGTTTTTTATTCATCAAAATACATGAAACACACAAATGAAGCAATAATCAATCTGGCATTCAGCTACACACACACACACACACATAAGACACGCACACATGCTGAAGTTTTAGAAATCAGCAGATGGTGAAACGGATGGCGATTTGCTGACTCACTCCGCTGTGAAGTGTTCATTACAGGATCTTTCCTCTGACAATATCAAAAATGCTTTAGAAAGTACAGCAAGAGTTTTAAAACGTGGCCTCTGCGCTGACAGGAAGTTAAAAGATCCATGAAATGAAAAGAGAGGAAGATAAAACAGCCACAGAAATTGATTTTTTGATGCTAAATGCAGCCGTGGCGGACTGATCAATCACGCCTGTTTGTGGATGTAGCGCTACAGGGCGGCCCAGTGTGGTGAACACAATGAAAAGGCCCTCAGGAGCCGTACAGCTAAAACTGTGGTTGATCAACAAGAGCATCGCCAATCCTGCAACAACCATCATTGTGAATGTTATGGAACTATTATGAAATTAGTTAAAAGTGATAATTCATTTGCTGCTGGTCAAACATGTAGTTCTGTTCTGAAGCTGACACGTCACACACACTCTACAAACAAACAAACAAACAAACAAACAGAGTTACTCTAGTCTCAACACAAGAAGGGATTACTGGTTGTCTCTGAACACTAACATGGACATGAGAAAGTATTTTAACATCCAGCAAAGGAAAAGACGGGAGTAATACCTCTCCGGTTAACAGGATCTTTCGCTACATAAGCGACGTAATCAGTCGTGTCCTGTTGACAGAAGACAGAGAACATGATTCAAACCTAAACTGAGCTAATGCTTTTGGTTCTTCAAAGGCGTCATATAATGGAGAACAGGATATTTCTGGCTCTTCTGAAACAGGAGTTTGATGTATTTGTACATCTCATCCCCTCCCCAGTCTGCACAGATCGAAACTAATGACTGATTTGTCAGTTGTCATGGTTATGACATCATAACTATGAGCTCACATTTCAGTCCTTCCAGAAAAACTATGTTTTTTGTGATTGTTGCGGGCAAAAATCCTTGATTATGCGGCCCGTTTTCTTTAAAAATGCGATGGAATATGCGGGATATTTATGCAAATTTTATTTGATGAAAAACAGAAAAAAAAGTGATTCCCCAACACCCTGTTCTCACTAGGCTACTACCTTAAAGGTGCACTGCGCAAGTCTCTGAGTTTTTGCAGAACTATGCCGCCTCTGGCGACAAGCGGAATTGCAACCAGAGGTGTGTGCGCTCATGGACCAAACGCACGCTTGCACGAGCTGTTCATAACCAAAGCATCAGCCGCACAAATCTTTTGTTAGTCATACTGTCTTCGGAGGTAATAAAGTTATAAATCTGCAAGTCATTTTAAATATAGACCAATCCGACGAGCGTTCTGTGTAGGCTGCCATCTTGTAGCGACGCCATTACTGAGCTGTTACACCGGCATAGACATATGCATCGGTATGTAAACAAACCTCGGTGATAACGCGAACGCACCCTCGATGACAGCTACAGCCAGGCAGAATGACTTGTTGGGTTGATGATGTTAGACAGTGGCCTCCAGTCACAGATGAAGGTACAAACGATCTTACAGATTATTTATGAAAATAGCTTGGCAAGCTAGCTAGGCTAACGTTTGCTAACGAGGAAACTATAAAAAGATCTGTCCATTTGGCAACAATAAATAAATGAAATCAAATAAACAAATTCATGTTTTTCATTTGTGTCCATTATTTATCTCATTTTCACATTGCAACGGGCAAGGGTAAGGTAACGTTACAGCTAGAAAGTATACATAGTATCGACCAATTAGTGTTTTTAAACCATGGAAAGAGGTCAGTATAACAGCAGGAGAACAATTATGTCACATAACGTTATATTTAGCTCAGGAAAGCCATTTAATGACCATAGCATGTTAATTGAATAGAAAAAATAGCAAGAGAGGAGATTTTGCTGATCACTATATCACATATTTATTATATTTTTTTACTTATGTCATTAAATAATTGTTATTATACGCGAATGTCCGCGTCTTGTACTCGCCCAGGAAATCTTTGTAAACCGTACGGCACCAGACAGGGGCAGTCGACCCGGGGTATTCACAGTGTTTTCTCTTCAAAATTGAAATTTTACTGCCACCATTGAAACAATTTATAACGGAAACTGTTTACCCACTCGACATTATACAAGGGATAACGTTGTAACGTTAGTGACAGTCGTAAATCGCGGGCTGTTTATTCCAGTGGACGCAAGTTGCAACTAAAACAATAGGAGGCAATGGCGCAACGCTACCCAGCAACAGCTCAGTAATGGCGCCCCGCTTACTTCCGGTAGTTTCGCCGGATTTGTCTATATGAAAGGAAAGGCATTTGAGTAAATTACACACTGTGTGTGTGTGTGTGAGGGGGGAAATGGGGGCAGTAGAAAACTTTGTTTCTATCTATCTCCATGTTGAACTGTTTTATGTGCTTACTGTATCCACTTATGATTGTATTATTATGGAAACACGTTCAGAGCGGAGATCTCTCCATTTGTTGAAAGCCTTCCCGATGTTGACTTTCGTCTTATTCCGACGCCTGGATCTTTATTTTCTTTGTCTTACGTGGAGTTTGCTTTGGGGTTTGGAATGAAAACCGGTCTCTTTGAATCCATCTCCTACTTTTGTCGAAAGTTGACTAAAGTTGTGTCTCTCGAGTTCTTCGCTGATACGGAGAATGGCGGGGAATACACAAACCTGCCAGACAGCCAGGCGAGCGTGAACGCGCATGACATCACGTCCCGTCTCAAACTCCGTCCCGAATCCCTCTTATTTATTTTACTGTACAGGATTATAGAGGCAATCGCAGTGATCCGAGAAGGGCTCATTCAGCCCATCAGGCAATTGTTTAAGCATGTATGGGTTCGAAAAATGGCTATTTTTAACATGAAATGTTGCGCAATGCACCTTTAATGTAAAGAGTCATTTCTTATTACTTCCTATGATAAGCAAGCATATACATCACAGAAAGTGCTGGAATATATCTTGTTTTATTTCAGACCTTAATAAAAACATCAAACTTACAAAGCATTGATAAGTCAAACAAGTTCTGTAGCTTTACAAAACGAATATGCTACAACTTCTATAAAAATGAATAAATAAAATATAAATAAATGAAAATATATTAATAAATTGTGCTCCTGTTTTACAACTTTTTGATGATGTTCACGTCGTGTAATTACATCAGTTCATAACGTTCCCAAGGCAACAGCGGGAAATGGCTGCTCTTGTGGGAAGCAAACTTTTTTGCAATGAAAATGCGAGGATTATGAAATCATGCAAGCCCGCATGTTTCGCACGAAAATCTGCAATTTATGCGGTGAAAGTGTGGCGTATTTGAGAAAATTTTGGCTGATTATGCACTAAATCATTTCCGGAGGGACTGATATTTGACCGCCCACATTTACGCATTAAAAATGGAAACATTTATAATTAATATAAATGTCATGATTATGACATCAAAAGAACTCATTAACATGAGCTCCCACATTTACATACTAAAAACCGAAAAGTGACTGTCATTATTATGACATTATATCTATGAGTTCATTCACATTTGACCGCCCACATTTACGCATTAAAAATGGAAAAAATGTCTAATTCATAAAAATGTTATGATTATGACATCATGATTATTTAAGATGATTATTCAGCAACAACTAGTACACAGAGACTAGCCAGTCATGAGGTAATTTACGAACAGAAGTCTTAAAGCGGCGGAAATAACCATTAAAAGCTAAACACCTTAATTTCCCCCCCGAGCGCTCTGAGATTCGCCATAAAGTGTCGTGAGACTGAACGTCAGCTGAAGAATGAATCATTGGTGTGATGTTGTGAAGTCTTACCGGATCTCCACCGGAGGCAAAGGATATGGACTGCATGTGATGATTGGCTATTATCTGTGGAAACAGGAAGGAGGATCATTCATCTGCAACAGAGAGAGAGAGAGAGAGACAGACAGACAGAGAGAGAGAGAGAGAGGATAGAGACACAGAGAAAGAGAGAGAGAAAGAGATATGTGTGTTTTTGTACCTGTTTGGAGTCCGGTGTCATCAGGTTTAAACTGCTGGTGGAGATGTTGAGATTGATACTCATACCAGCAAACTGCAGGTTACTCTTGCCCAGAATACTGGAGAGAAGTTTCGAGGGAGTCTGAAAGAGAGAGCGACACATTCAGACTATCCTTTTCAAATGTTTCTTACTTTCCTTACATGTGATGACCCCTGCTGTCTTACACCGTCCACACCGGAAACGACAAAGCGACCGCTGCAAATCCATTTGTCATTCCTGTGAGAAGTTGCATTTGAAATAGAGCGGGACATCAGTTTACCATGAAAAACTTGTTGTGTTGCTGTTAGACTGCTTGTTAATTATTTGTCATGCGTTGAACGGTAGCTTCTTCCACAGTGAAATGTCCAAAAATCATGTTCCACATATAAAGATGACATATGCTCTGAGTTATTATTTGATTAGATTTCATGTTTCAATATTTTATACATTTTTATTTAAATATATTCTGAATGATTCAGGATTATTATAGTTAAAATAAAACCCTAAAAGCATTATTTTGTTGTTGTTTGAAATAAAAAATGTTAACTGAAATAAAATATTTTGAAAAATTATTTTTGAAGAACTATAATCACTACAACTGAAATAAAAATTCATAAAAACTATAGACATGTTTTAACTATGGACATGTTGTGTTTTACAAAAACACAAAGAAATTATTCAAATTTGAACTAAAATGAATATGGAAAATCTACCAAAAAAAAAAAATTATTAAAAAAAAAAACTACAATATTATCTCATTGTATAATAACACTGGAATTATTTTTTAAATATATATATATATTTCATGTTAATTTGGTTTATTGTTATTATAAATTCTGAATTATTTTATTTTGTATATTTATTTAATATTTGATTAATTTGAATGATATTGATATTCCGTTTGTACTATTGCTACTTTCATTTATTTGACTAATTTATTTAGATGTAAATGCTTTGCCTATTAAAATGCGCTTTTTTCTTTATTGATTAAATTCAAATCACTCCAGTCTTTATTCATATTACTTAATGGAAGAAATTGAAAAAAATAAAAACACACATGAATCGCATCATTCTGTGTTTGTGTGCTAAACTGATCCAATGCGGCTTGATTAAATCGGGACATAAAGTGCAGCGCGCTTTAAAGGTTTCCTAAAATCCCCACACACACACGTCTGTTCATTTGAAAGCGGACACGGCCCTTTCCACGGCTGCTATCCTCGAAGCAAAGCGCATCACACACACACACACACACAGCAGGAGGCCTGATTACTGCTGCTCAGCACAGAATGAGTCACCATGCTAACAGTATGCCCACACACACACACACACACACACTGCAGCATGCCGTTTCTCTTTCTCCAGCCTTTATTTGATCTCTAACCGTCTTTATCTCACTCCAAACCTTCTGATGCCCCGCTTCTGGTCTTTTTTTTTTTTTTTTTCATCTATAACCTCCACCTCCTGTCCACTTCCTGTTGCCATGTACAATCATCTATAACTCTGTTTGTCTCTGGAATGTAATTCAGTTTGCTTCATCCTGACATGCCTTTAGCATCAGCGACATATTATTGTCCATGAAAACTGAACATTTCCTAAGACAACAATGTGAACATGCACACCGAATCTGTGCTGAACTTTCAGGGAAAAGATGCTGAATTACGTAGAATAGATTTAGAAATGTTTTGCGCTGAGAGTACTACACTCACACTGCAGATAAAAGTATCATCAAATTTGCAAAAATACTTAATAATTGCAACACAAAAGAACCAGACTTGTGGATTGTTGCACGCGTTTCTGAGTTGGAAATCCGACTTTAAGAGGCTTTGCAACAGTGGCCGCCCACTTTTTCAGCTGCGCTGGTTCCGGAAGTATTTTTTGTCCATTTATTTCACACATAAGAATTTCAAAACTTTGATTTGAAGCAAAAAAAAGTATTTGAAAATCAGACAAAAAGTCTTCACGGCTTTAGTGAGGGAAAGAACTACAATCTCATGAAGCATTGCATTATCTAATTAAAAACAATGGAGAAATATAAAACTACTGAGCTCATTCTCATCCCAAGGCGTCATATGTGACGCTTTTGCCAAAGCGTAGACATCCACACGGCACCCTTTAGCGTCATATAACACGCAGATACTTATGGGGCAGAAGGCGCCTCCTAGTGGTTTAACCCTAACCCTACCCCATACCTAAACCTACCATAACCGAAGCGTCTCATTTGACGCTAAAGGGTGCCATGTGTGTTGGATGTCTACGCTTTGGCAAAAGTGTCATATGACGCCTTGGGATGAGAATGTGAGAACTACTACTTTAAAAATGTTGAGTATATATATTAATTATGCTTATATATTCAAGTATTTTAAAAGAGTAGGGACTAGGGACTGAACTAAAGTGATATTTTGGCGTGTTGCTTTTCTACTCTCTGATTTCATATCGGAAAGTTCAGTACAGCATTATGGGTAATGTAGTTTATCACCAGGAACTCCACTGTTAAACATGATTATTTTAAAACTAAGCTGAAATAATGTTTAGCAGAAGCAAATACAGTTGATTAACGAGTTGTTACTTCTGTGAAACTGAATGGATTGCAGTATAGTAGTTCATCTTATTTAGTTATTGTCTTTAACATATTTCCACACATTGTCTAATCACAAAGCATCTCTCTTTTCTCTCTTCTACCTTTCTCTTGCGCAGAGCTCCTTTGGCACCAGGGACAGCTTCACACACCAGACTGATCGCCTCCCTGTGGAGAGAAATTACAGAAAATATAAAGACATGAGTAAGAGTAAGTAAGTACAGAGAGAACAAACTGTAATGATGCTCTGTGAAAACAGTCTGGAACCAAAGCAAACCTGTTCATTCTGGGATAAATTTGATCTGTTTCTGTCAATCCCGCCTGGTTTTCAATAGCAGAAGTATCATGATAATATCAAGGGTCGCTGATGGTTGATATTAAATGATGCAAACATAAATAATAATAATACTATAAACATAAACTAGAAAATGATATAAATGTATATATGAAGAGTTCAGATGCAAAAGCCTCTAAATGCCATTTGAAATTTTCTTCTTTAATGATGATTTTTATCAAACTTGTATATTTAAGTTCAGTGATTTCACTTAAATGGCAATGATAATTACCTATTAATTGTTATTTAAGTGAAATTACTGAACTTAAATATATAAGTTTGATAAAAATCATCATTAAAGAAGAAAATTTCAAATGGCATTTAGAGGCTTTTGCATCTGAACTCTTCATATATATATATATATATATATATATATATATATATATGTAATATTTTGAATATATATAAAAATGCTAAAAATATTACATCTATTTACAACGTTGAAAGGAAATGTACCATTTTTGATAAATACATTGTTGATTAATAATAATAATAATAATAATTATACCATTAAATAAACAAACAAAACTATATAAAACTCACATAAAATATAAGTGAAAATATAATACAGATTTAAAAAGCATTTGCTAAAAATATTATATATTGATAAGGTAAAAAAAGGGCAAAATATTCATATTTATCACAAAGTAAATAAAAGAAATCATAAAATATACCAGAATTTTGTAGAAAGAAAATTAAAGGGATAGTTCACTTTGAAATATTTTTTGATATGTTTTAGCTTACCTCAAGGGCATCCAAGATGTAGGTGTCTTTGTTTCCGCAGTATTTTCAATGTTGATATTTTTAGGTCAAACCGTTCTTCTCATGCATTATATGACTGACAGACAACAATGGTTTCACCTAAAAATATCAAAATTGAAAATACTGTGGAAACAAAGACACCTACATCTTGGATGCCCTTGAGGTAAGCTAAAACATACCAAAAATTCATTTAAAGCCTGTTTTTTAATATTTAAAAATATTATTTTGCACAATAACATTATTTTCAGAGCAATTAAGCACATTTCTAACCATTTTCCTATTTCTGTAATGCGTTCTGACAAGTTGTTTTAAATAATTCTCAACTTAATGCAGTTACTCATTACTGTAAAACATTTATTTAAATTAATTTAAAGAACTACCATGATGTATAAATATATATATATATATATAATTTCTGTAATTATAGTAACGAAATTGGGATTTAAAAAATTACAATAATTTTAAAATACAAGAAATATAAATGCGGGCTCAAACTGTTTTTCTCTACACATTTGATGAGATGTTTTACAAAAGGCACAATAAATATAAGCTATCACAGTCCTGTTTGCTGCTGAATGCAGTTTTTAGACCCGTCTTTGTGTCCAGAGACTGTGTTGTGTGTTCGTGCGAACGCTACAGCAGAGAGTGGCAGGAAGTCAGGCAGAAAAGAGGATATGACATGTCATCTCCAGCGTCTGTATGAGGATCGGCCCACACAGCCCAGCGTTCAATAAACAAGCAGCGTCCGCTGGGATCCGATCTGCTGCCTCTACACTAATGTTACGCAATGACTCATCAGCAGTACACATGGATGGGTTACATTCACATCTCATGCGCTCATTTTAGCAGCAATAAATGAGTGTTTGGCAGCGGGTGCAAATAAAGGAAAAAACAACAAAAAAACAACATAAAAGTGCCATAAAAGAGCTGATAACAGTCATGTAACGCGACACGGGAGCCATTAACTGTGATGTAACCGTTAAAGCAACTACAAAAGCCATTAACTGTGATCTAGTAGCAAAACAACAAAAACATAAATATATATAAATACATAAACATAAGAAAAATAATATAAAAAAGAAAGCTAAACACCCTCAACTAAAATGCTCTCACCTTCTATACAGTAGGTATCATTTCATGTGTAGCACTGGAGTCTGATTCATTTGGACAAAAACTACACTGTAAAAAATATTGATGGTTTAACTTAAAAAAGTAAGTAACCTGGTTGCCTTAAAATTTTAAGTTCATTGAACTGGAAAAAGTGAGTTAATACAATGAAGGAGATTATTTTAATCATAAGAAACTCAAAATAATAAGTTATCTCAACTAAATAAATTATTTAAGTTGATTTGACAAAAGAAAAAATGTTGTGATTACTACACTGTAAAAAAAATATAGTTGGTTTAACTTTAAAAAGTAAGTAACCTGGGTTGCCTTAAAATTTTAAGTTGATTGAACTGGAAAAAGTGAGTTAATACAATGAAGGAGATTAATTTAATCATCAGAAACTCAAAATAATAAGTTATCTCAACTAAATAAATTATTATAAAGTTGATTTGACAAAAGAAAATATGTTGTGATAACAAATCTTGAAAATCTTTTTTACAGCGTAGTAAAATAATCAATACCTTTGGTTGTGTTCCATAGTCAAAAAAGAAAAAAAGACTTGAAAAATAGAATGATGCACTCTATTTTGTCAATCTTTTTACATAATCTTATCTATAAGATATATGCAAAATAAAATACATTTAAAAAGCAAAGATCAACATATTGTTTTCATTTTGTGATTATTAATATTCATTGATATTTGCACCTCTTTTAAAATCTTTTTATATAATTTTTATTTTTAAAACCAATTAATAAATTGTAAAAAAAAAAAATGTAAATGGGGAAAATGAGATCACAATTTTTTCTTTTGTTATTATTAATATTCATTGATATTTGCACCTAACACTCTAAACGATGCTGGGTTGTTTTAACCCAAATTTGGGTCAAATGTGGACAAACCCAAATGTTGGCTTAAAAAAAATGTAATTAAAAACTTCAACTTTCACTTTCAACTGTAAATTTTAATTACATTTTTAATTAACCAAAAACTTTTTTTAGAGTGTAAGTTACAGAACACATTAATTTTTTCAATATTTTTTTATAGCAAAATCCTAAACTAAACACTACTGTTAATAACAATTTTTTTAATAAAGATAACGATGACTATATTAGTGTCCAGATGACGTTTTGTCATCAGGTGCTTTAAATGCTCAAACTCTTCATAGCAGCATGGATTCCAATTGGCAGTCAATGCCATTCATAAAGCATTCAAAATATTACTAAAGATGCCAGTATGATATGATAAACTTCTTTCTTTGGAAGCGTGTGAATCCATGCATGCTATTTCAGCTCATATTACCCAGTATTCCTCATACAACACAAGAGGAAGAGTTTGGGGCTATCTTACACTTCTTCATTAGTAGACAGACAGAGAGTTGTTGTACCGTGTGATTTGTGATCGTGTGGTGAAGTCCAGGGATCTCATGGACCGGAGGACTTCAATGCAGCCCAAATACTGAAAAAGAAAGGACACAAATGAGATTAGAACAGCTGAAAATCATATTTTCCTTAAAACTAGATATTGTCATTGCCCGTGTGTGATAAAGTGCCATATTAATATTCAAACCAAATTGAAGGAATATTGCATAAAACTTGTGTTAAGAAAACAACAACATCACTTCCTGGCGCAAAATATCTGTATTAAAAATGGAAGTTGCTGCAATCAGGGGAAGCTACTCTGGCTCTGTTTACATATATCGATGAAACACAACAAACGCTGTCATCATGTTATCTTGCGTTTGGATGCTGGGGTTTGGGAATGCAATTGTATGAGAAAGGGAATTAAACCCAATCATTCTGATGACAGAACCATCAAACCAACATTTACGATTCCGTGCGATGCGATGGTTCGTCCAGTTATCCAATCACAGTTTCTGCTGAGGCAAAGTCATGTGAGGTTTTTGTTGTGCATCCAGTAAATGTGTTTCCATCGTAGTTTATGCGCATTTCTTCTTATTAGATAAAAACAATTGTCTGATTCATCTTGGTGTTTCCATTCAGCATTTTTTATGCAATACCACGTATTCACATAAAAGTAGGTGGATGGAAACATGGCTTGTAAGGATCACTTTAAAGTTAACATGATATCAAAATAAATGCTATTTAATTGCTTCATACATGCTCCTAGTCTTGTATTTTTCCTATTTAAATATTCAGAAAACACTGCTCATGTTGGCCCCTCTGTGCCAGAAGTGGAGACTAGCAGGGATATTTTGACTTCATTTCTCTACAGTGGAAGCGGAAAAGTGTCATCTATTTTATTTATTGAATTTTTTTTATATGAAGATTCATCAAAAACTCCCTTTTTGCATTCAATAAAATAACAGCAAATAATAATATTAATGAATACAGTTTGTGAACGGCATGAGGGCGAGTAATTAATGTTAATTTAACTGTTCTTTCATACTTTAATCTGCCTGTGTACAGTCACACACTGTTAAAAACACACCCACGCACACACATACACACACACACACCACATCACATTATCCACATACAAAAAACCCACAGACACGCCAAGCTCACATGTGCAGACACTCAATCAAATCACACATTTTCTTCAGGAAAAACACAAGTTACACAAATTTCTCAGAATCACAGACTGCAATTTCACACAATGTCCCTCATCGGATGTGGTATGCTCTATACCACGGCATTATCATGTCTGATCTGATCACATGACTTCACAAACTCACTTGAAAACATTTGGTGGATAAGGAGTAAATGGATTTTTTTTTTTTTTCATTTTCAGTCATTTTCAGTCTGCCAAAGCTTAAAAACCCTAACCCTGCATGAACAGAGAACCTCAAGTATTCAATAAGTGAAATTTGGGTGGTGATGGCGCAGTGGATAAGACACATGCCTTTGGTGTGAGAGACCCGGGGTTGAAAGTGCTGTGAGACACCAATGTGTCCCTGAGCAAGACACTTAACCCCTAGTTGCTCCAGAGGCATGCGACCTCTGACATATATAGAATTGTAAGTCGCTTCGGATAAAAGTGTATAAATAAATAATAACGCAAAAAACGAAATCGACTATGAAAAAAAAAAACACACTTTAGCTTCACAGATTCATATGATATTCTTTTATCTATAAAAAGCGCTCATATTTTAACTATAAAAATCAAAACCCTAACCTTACATGGACAAAAAAAAAAAAAGTGATCAACAACAAAACCAAAAAACAGTAAAATTAAACAGAAAAAAAAATTCAACTTCAAAGGATGTACCTCATTTTTTATTTTAACTATAAAAATCTCAAAACCCTAAACCTACATAATAAAATAAAATAAAATAAAAAGTGATCAACTACAAAAAAAGACGCTTTAAAGATTAATCTCAAACACAAAATCCTAACCCTGCATGGACTATAGAAGAAAGTCTTAAATAACATGAATAAAAAAAATAAATAAATGAAATCCTTCTATGATTATAATATAAAAATATAAAGCCAGCAGTGAACAGCTGTGAATTACAGATGAGCTGCGCATGAGAACAGTCGATGACATCATGCATAAACAGTGACATCATCTCTGCCTTTTTCAGCCCGTCACTTCGCCGATCTCTCAGAGCCGTATGGTATGACTCACTCGTCGAGAGTCACACTACAACTTTCCTTGACTAAATGCATGACTCACCTGCAGTAACCCACCTGAGAACCGTCTAACACGCTGTCCGACCTAACGTCAGATTCAATGCTGGTTAGTTAAGATTACTCCAGGGGTTCATGGAAAACTATCTCCTTACTGCCTCTTTTTAATAGTCCAGATCAACCCACTGGTGTACGGTTCAAAGCGCACACAGGAAATGAGGCCGGAAGCGGACGATGAGTCAGAGCAATGTTTTGGCACTCGGTATATGGTTAAATACAATGACGGAAGCTAATTGACTGATTGTATTAGACAAAGTGGCTATTATACAGTAACATGCCAAGATAATCAAGTCAAATCAAATGTATTTATAAAGCACTTTTCACAATACAGATTTCAAAGCAGCTTAATAAAAATTCTTAATGTTTATCTTCATGCCTTATAGTCACATTTAGCAGATTAGAGCTGGGCGATAATAGAGTTACATTTTATGATGATGATGATATAAACAATAAAGCATTTGAGATTTGCTACATAGTATTTATCACTTTAATGTATGTATATATATATATATGCGGATACAGTTGGAAATTCTAATATAACTATCTTTATATAAAGTGCTGGGCTACAATATATAGTTACATTTTGCAACAAAATAAAAAAATATTGCTTTACAGTTTAAATGAGTATACTGTATGCAAATAAAGGTGGATCTAATACATATTTAGATCTAATACATACAATTTTTGTGGGGATATAAACATGCAATCATACCGATGCAGCCAAGACTGTATCTCGTATGTATTGCTCTATGTGACATTCAAATTCACACTTGAATGAAACCGGCTAAATATCAACACAGCTTAACAGAATAACTCGAACATATTGGCACACTAAACTGCCAACAATTTTGAACATTCACTATATATTTACTGTAACCCAAGTGTCTTATCACTTTTAATAAATATAAATTAAGTGTACAAATTTTCACTTCACTCCATAAATCAAGCAAGGGCCGTCTCTAAAGTCTGTAGTCTGTCAGAACGCTGGTGGTGTGTGTTTGAGAAGCAGCCTGTCCAGTCAATGTCAGCAGCTGTCCTTTTAGTGAAATGGAGCATGGTGTGTGTATGTGTGTGTGTGTGTGTGTGCGTTCATGCACAGGGTCACTCAATAAGTGAACTGTAAAGAATAACACACATCCAGCCTGCAAAGGGACGCCGGAAGAGTTTGTTATTGAAGCTGCCAACTTTTACCAACTAACTCTAACAAAAAGCACAACGAGCTAGAAATAAATGCTTTGAGAGACCTTGGTCAATGAAAATAAAGAAAATAAAAGACATTTAATTCCCTTCCATTGCACATTGGTTTGCATCATCTAATTCAATCGTGTCGACGGTTCGTGTTTTGCCTTGACAGCAACTGACAATTCAGAAGGGAAAAAAAGCTAGAAGGGAATAATGTATGATTCATCCGGCACGAATCAGAGTCACCTTTAGCTCAATGAAGCTGAGACCATGCTTATATGACCACAAATGCATTAGATGATACGCTTAAAATACATGATATTGCAAGACCTGAGGTCAGTGCACAATATGCATGATCTATTATGCAAACATGTGTTAGAACTAATGCACTTATTAATGCACAAACATCTAAAAAAAACTATCTTCAAATAACCCAAAACGGAGGTGATGATGTCTGCATTTCTAAAGCTAGCTGCTAATGTATACAAGAAAAATGTACATGCACTACAGAAATTTCCATTACTTATCAAGAGTTTACTTATTGCAGGCCAGACCTAATAATAATTCAAAATGATATTTCCAGGGTTGTTGACCGTCGGAACCCGGGATAAATATATACGAGAGGCGAGCGTTTTAAATCAAATGCACAGAGCACAGGATTCAGGAGCCACATGCAAGTTACACAGGAGACGCGTGGCGTACGTGCACAAATCAAAGATCAGTTATCATGTTTGTCTTTGCATATAGATGTGGACAAGAATAACAGCTCTTTCTTGCAACGCGTCATGGTCCCCGACTCCCCGGAGACGATACAGTAACAGAACTGTAGCCTGAACAACATCCCCCTGGTCTGGTAACTGGTCGCCGTGGTTACGCGATTTGCATGCACTTCCCTTTTGATGTGATAAACTTGCAGTTAATTTGAATAGATCAAATCTGTGGAGGTAAGAAAAAAAGCGGTTGCACGGACAAACCGGAACACCATCAATATATTCTTCTCATGCATGAAGATGGCAGAAACATGCTATAAGGGGTGTAACAATATATCATTCCACAATAAACCGCAATACAAAAATGCAAAAATACGTATAGTAGATAGTGACAATATGTATCGTGGATAGTTCCCCCAAAAAACAAAAAGTTTTAGTGTCAGTACTACATTAAAATACTATAATGTTGAATATAATGTATAGTAATGCAATGGGGGAATATTTGTGGGTCCCGATAATGCCAAGTGTCTGATGTTACCAGTAAAAAGTAAATATATCTAGTTAGTGAAAGAGTGCAAGCATATTCGTTTAAAACAATTCTGTATTTTCAGAATCATGAAAATTGTTATTCTGGTGTCTCTAATTGTCCTTGGGTTACAAGCACCAAGTTCAAGCCTATTCATTTAAACCCACAATGTAGTATCAAAGTTAGCATTTTAATCAAAAGCACATTTTTTGTTAACCTTTTACCATATGTCTTGGAGTATCGCAATAATATCGTATTGTGAGTTCATTATCGTGATATGTATCGAATCATGACATGAGGGTATCGTTACACCCCTAGTATATACCAAGTTAAATAGAGTTTCACGGCTATGATCGGACGGTGCTGATTTATCTTATTTACATACAACATCAACACTGCTATTGGATCAACTCTAAGTCAACAATTGAGCCAAATAATGAGACTATTGTCTTCTGTAGTGCTGCTTTACAGTTGTTAAAAAATGTATGAATTTTACAACATTTTCCTGTTTATTACTGTGAAGCTGCTTTGAAACACCTTTATTGTATAAAGCGCTATATAAATAAATATGACACAATGAGGAAGTTTGGCCAACATTACACTTGACAACTGATGATCAAGTGTGTGGATAATATTTATTTGACTTTTTTGTTCTCAGCTCAAGTGTTATAAAATGTCAACCATTTGTTATGCATAATCATCTTTTGATTTGAGTCCATTTACTTCCAACTAGAACAAAGAAAATGAATGATTTAAAGACGTTACTGCATGATTAAACAATAGGCAAAACCACTAACAATATAATAAATGTATGTATTTATTTATACATCACTCGATATACTGTTGCTAAATAACACCATTTCATTCATACCGCCCACCTCCACATGCATGCATTAATGCAACAGATGCCATGTAAACATGCATGGTACTGTATGTGGCGGAACAGCCTGTGCTTTAGCGGTCAGTTGTGAACGTAACTGGCGACCTACACTATTCCAAAGCGTACACATAATCCCTCTGTACCAGCACACGGACACAAAGACCAAAGAACGACGAGGGAAATGCAAGGAGAGAGAAAGGATTTGGATCTTACCTTAACGACGTACGTCACTCCAGGTCCGGAAATCTTTTCGCTGGAGTGCAGCCATCCACGAGACGGCTTGTTCACCAACCCGCCCGTCCCGCCCAGACTCCATCCCTCTCCTCCTCCAGGCTGAGACTCCTCCATCCTGCACTTCTTCCCCGAGCTCACGAAGCCGGGCTCCAGCGGGGCGTGAGGCGCCGAAGACGAGCCCGGGCTGCCGGATCCGCCTCCTGACGCTCCTCCCTGGAGTTTGGACACGGCCAGGTCCTTCACGGCAGACGGCAGGCCCTTGATGCCCAGCAGACCGGAGGAGTTGGCGAATTTGAGGTTGGAGACTTTGTTGATGAGGGTGCACAAGGTCCCCGACTCTTCCGAGGGTTCGGGGTCGGCTGGAGGGGCGTATGGAGGGTCGCCCACGGGCGGCGACGGCGGGACGGCCGAGACCTTGGCGTTCATGGAGAGACCGTGCAGAAGCTCATCGACGGACGTAACTGACTCATTCCGGAATCGGTTGTATTTAGCACGGTGAAGCATTCCCCTCGGTATGCCAGCCTACACACGAACGGACACATCCAGCTCCCAGCTGACCGTCCACATCTTTTGCATGCTGGAGCTGAGAAAGCGTCCTCGAAGGGGTTTGAAGAAAGGGAGCGGGTGGTCGTCAGGAAAATCCGACGCCACGCAGCAGCAACTCAGGGACCAAAAATAAACCACAAAACGCGGAATCCATGGAGACAGAGGACGATGAGAGAAAAGCAGCGCGAGGTCACTCCTCTACAGAGGGCCAGAGATGGCAGAGAGAGAGACAGATCTCTAGTGAAGAGATGTCTCTCTCTCTCCCCGCATCCTGGCAGATCCCTGAACATGCATGACTCACTCTGAGAGAGAGAGAGAGAGAGAGAGAGAGAGACCCTTCTCAACAAAAGACTCACTCTACACTGCAGAGCACTTTCCGTTACAAAAAAACTCCCACTTACTGCTCGGTAGAACCAATCAATTCGCAAAATTTGCCCTGTCTATAGGAACGCCTCCTGCTTTGATTCAGTTCATGTGAAAACAGATTAATAGAATGAAAAAGATGCTATAAAGAGATGACTGAAATCCGAGCTCAGTCAAAATGAATGAGAATCTTTGAGTCAAACTAGTCAAAATGATGCAAAAACAGTCATAATTTGCGGACATAATTCAACGCAAAAATCACATTAGAGTACCGCGCATGTTGTCGGATCACATGTACGCCACATAGAATGAAACTTGAGTCGGTGTGCATGGCGATCGCTAATTTGTCATACATACAATTGTGGTTTTACTTTAATTCAGAAGCAAGGTGCTCTAATGAAAAGTAAGCATAAAGATTGCACATGACTGTGACATAAAAATAAATAAAAAACCTAGCAAATTACCTAAATGACAGCAGGGTTAAATATATTTGAATGCGTTCACCTTTCGCCCACAACTGCGTTCTAGTCAACGGCACGTTTAAAATGTGCACAAATTTAAATCGCAAGACCAATACGGCTTTATCTCTTTGTTTGTCACGTTCGTTCTTCCTTACATACTACGAAACATAAATCTATCCACACGGGCACTCGAATATTCCCCCCTACAGAAGGCAAAACAAGCCAAGCTTTGCTTCTGAATGAGCTTTGTTGAATAATTAAACAACCCTCTCAAATACACAATGTCGAGATTCGATCTCACTAAAACGCCATCCGGATTCAGCAAGGATACAACCGTAAATAGTGATGTCAGATCTCCCAGCCCCATTAAAAAGCATCCAACGGGATGAAGCCCATGACATTAAGGCAGCAGAAAAGGAGCCATTCATGTAAAATGTCCAGAAGAGCTAGTGACAGGGAAGCGGCAGTCATTCACAAGCTTCTGTAACGCTGCGGCTAACGCACTGCAGTCCCTCCCAGCGTCTCGCTTTCCTGCCTGCCTGCGAATTGAAAAAAAAGAAAGAAGAAAAGACAGAGAGAGAGAGAGAGCAAGGGGTTTGTCTTCTCCACTGAGACAAAAGCAAACAAGCAAGCAAAAAACTAAAAAAAAGCGTTATAAGTGCTCCTCGCTCGGTGTTGTCACGGAGATGCAGAAGAGATGCTGAGGAGAGGAAGAGAGGATGCTGAGGAGCTGTGGAGGGAAAATGTTTCGGGCTGGCTGTGAATGGAAAGGCAGACGGGCATACCGACGTTTCTGTGAATGAAGTCAGGCCTCGGCAGCTTTCTGCACGGCAATCCCTCGGGATGGATCCCGACCGGCCAATCAGGGAAGAGCAGGATGACTCATTCAGGGTAGGCTGGCTGAATAGTGGGGCAAACCACTTGAAGCACAGGTGAAGGGAGAAACCATTCTCATCCTACAGCACTGCATACTGCTCGCTGCGTCGCATCTAAACTCCTGAATCCGTGTTGTGCTCTCCTAAAATATCTCCTGGCAGGATGCGTGGCCTGTTTCGGAAAAGTAGAACAACGATCAATTGCACACTCCAATAAACTGGCCCCTCCTTGTGTCCTCCTGAGTGCAAACTTTGCACATTCATATGAATGAAGGGTGATCAAAGAGCATATGCTGAACTGAATCAACTGAATTATCAGATGCATCCTGCCCGGCAGAGCCATTTACATGCAGTATGCTAGCCAAGACAGTTCTGGAAATAAAAATACAAGGCAGAAAAAACAAACAAATTAAAGGAACTGGATTTGTACATTTGTTGAAGAAAATGTTAGGATGCAAGGCTGATATGAGTGGCTGCTAGGTGTGTTTTAGTGTGCTTCACCTGTTTCATCCTCCAGCAGGTGGAATTATTAAATCGGATCACTTAGGAAAGCAACAGCACACCTCTCCTCAACAAAACGCATGATTTGAAGCACAAATAGCACCAAGTTAAATTTTACCATAATGTAATGACTTGGCATAGAGTGTAATGGTTGGGTCCCAGAAGTAAAAGCTACATTAATTTATTAACCATTAAAGACAGCCGTACTGTGAGCTACGAGGTTTTTAATCGATTGTATTTGCTTCTGTTGAAGCCGTCAGCCCACATTATTTCAGCTAAGTTTTAAAATAATCAAATTTAACAGTGGAGTTCCTGGCGATAAACTACATTACCCATGATGTACTGAAAATTCCACCAATCAGAATAATGAAAATAGCCCCGCCCACTTCTATAAAGCACTGCGAATTACGTAATCGAGTCTCCCTGCACTCTCAAAATACTTAAATGTTTGTATATGCATATTCGGGAATAACTTTAAAATCGATTGTTTTTATACCTGTAATCAACATTTCTAAATGAGTAGTTTTATATTTTTCCATCATTTTTAATTAGATTATGCTGTTGGTAATGCTTCATGGGATTGTAGTTTTGTAGCTTTGGCAGATTTTCAAAAACTTCAAAAAGTGATCCACCTTCAAAGCTGGTTGGTTTGGTTCAGTTCATGGCTTATAACTCTTTAAAAAAGATTATTGTAAAATCCTGATTGGAAAAATGAATAAAAAATTCTTACGGAACCAACCGTGCTGAAAAAGAGTGAACTCTATTAAAACGTAGGACAGGACTTAAATTTTAATTTTAAAATATAGAGCATTTGTTGGAATATTTTGCACTTTTTGAAGAAAAATAAGACCAAGAACATGTATTGAAAGAAAATAAAGGGGGTTTAATTACTTCATGCTGACTTTCAATATTCAATATAAAAAGCTGGTCAAAAACCTTGATTAATGAATAAGCTTCAGTTGAGCACATCTGTCTGGATCAGGATTTGATTTATATATCTGCATCACATCTATCTCTCTGAACACCACACAGGTTCTCAGGCAGTTTACTCACCGTGGAAAAGAGTTCATCGGGTTTATCTTCCTCTCATAACACAACTGAATGTCCTGAAGCATGAAAAATACAGAAGATCTATTACAAACAAATAGGAAATGAAACTGCTTCACTGTAAATGTATGTATTGCACTTTAGACATTCTACATGTTTATATTTATACATATAGAGAGAGAAGAGATAGTGGGTGGTGGACTGCGCATGTGTGTGTGTGTGTGTGTGTGATCTTCATAGTCGTGACTAAAGTGTGTCGGGTTCACTCCTACACATGCTCATTAAAACAGCAGGAAGTACAGAAACTAGAGGAGACAGAGACAGAGAACACAGAAGGCTTTCCAAAGTCCAAAAATCACATCACATGTCTGTTGGGACACACATCAGGTACGTCACTCTTAAACGCAGGCTAAAACAAGACCAATTTTAGCCCAGTGACTAATAGTGAGGTTTAGCGACCTAGGAGCATTTGTTTAACTACATTGTAGGCTACATTTATAATACTATGTTTGTGATCCCTACAAATTTGAATGTGCATGTCTATAACATGTATATGTAGAACGATGTAAATACAGATGAAATAAGTAATATTCACAACGTATAGATTTGCAGAGATTCAATTTCAGTGTGACACTGCACAGCATTTAGCAGAGTGCATTCACTGCGAATGCATCCAGACACATGCGTTAGGTCCATACAGAGAGGGAGACGCTGCCTACAGGAACCTTTACTGTAACCATAGTTTCAAAGACAGCATAGCAACAGGAATGAGGTGAGGGGGCTGGCCATAGTGATTGGCAGCTCACATCCGGTGGATGCCATTGGCTGCAGTGAGTGAGAGTGTTTTCCGGTGTAGCACCGCATATTCTGGTGTACATGCCACTACATGTGTTTGCAGGAAGATGGAATTCAGGTGTTACTAGGATACCACGACATAAGATAAACATTTGTTTTTGTGCAAACAATCTATAATGCAAATGCCCTGGTGTGAGTCACTATAACTGAATCATGAACAATATTGATTCATGTTTTTTAAATTCTGCTGCATTTAGGAGCGTGAAGATGAAATGCTCATCTTAAGCAGCTGCAATGGCACAAACCTATAGACTGTAACTGTCCGGTTCCGGAAGTAAAAACTTCTCCATAAAAAAATTGATTTTGAACAATAACCCATAAACCTTTAAAGAGAGCTGTACAGTGAGCTACGAGGTTGTTAATCGATGGTATTTGCTTCTGCTGGAGCCGTCAGCCCACATTATTTCAGCTATATACAATAATCATGTTTAACAGCAGAATTCCTGGTGATAAACTACATTACCCACAATGCTGTACTGAAAATTCCACCAATCAGAGAGTCAGAAAAAGCAACATGCATCAAAATAGCTCTACCTCCGTCCCATCAACAAACCGATATTTCTAATTTATTGTGGTGCACGCGTGAACTGTATTTATAATAGTATATCCGTATGTTTGCCGAATGACTGATGTAACATTAACTTGAGTTAGCCGGTTAGCCAGAGAACGTCTCGGGTACATATGTAACCCTCGTTCCCTGAGTGAGGGAATGGAGATGTCTTGTCGTAACGAACGATATGGGATCTCGCTCAGAGGACCAAGCTACTTCGAAAGTAATTAAATGAGCCAATTTCACGTTGGCATGCAATCATTGCATTCAGCTGCACTGCCTCGTCAGCACGGGTATAAATGAGCAGCTGGTGCATGATGCAATCAGTTTTTCGCCGAGGAGTTGACGACCCAGGCCCCAGTGACGGCACAACGCCCATGGCGACGGGACGTGACGTCTCCGTTCCCTCACTCAGGGAACGAGGGTTACATATGTAACCGAGACGTTCCCTATCGTTCGTTCACTCTCGACGTCTTGTCGTAACAAACAATATGGGATCCCTACCAAAGTGCCACGGCGCTGCGTGCTTCCAGCTAGAGGTCTTCACAGTGCACCCGAGACCCGTCGGCCCGGGACCCGTACGGGTTCGGGTCTATATTTTAAATGATAAGCCGGGTCCGGGTCGGGTCCGAATCTATTACTTTGGGTCCCGGGTCTGTTTAACATTGTGTGTAATAACCGTGCGATCGGAGTGCAGTCTCAAGCGCGTGTCATGTTTCTATGACAACCATAGCAGAGCTTCCGTCAAACCGCGCTTTACATTTTCTCCAATGTTTATAATAATATAAATGAACCGTCATGTTTAATCTTAAAGTTTTGGTGGTCAGATTCAGACTCAACGAAGAGCAGAGAGCACAGATATGATCAAGCTGAACAAGCAACAAGCAATCGTTATTACAGTTCAAAAGGGCAAACAGTTAAAGTTATTATGCGAGTTAACTCGAGTCAGAATGTACATGTGCAAGGTTGCATTTGTCATCCATCACCGTGACATCAAGTGGACTTTTAAAGCTGAAATCATGAGTGGATTAAGCTTGGAATTACGAGAGAAATAACATGGATAGAACTTTCTTGTCGGTGGATTGTAATGCATCACAGTCAGTCAGGTAACATTACAAGGAAGTGAGACGACGGCTACTAAAATTAGGTAAGACAAAACGTTTTATTTTTCGCAACTCGTGTGAAATAATATGTGACAATCGGGTCCATTCGGGTTTGTCTTTCTGCTGGGTTCGGGTCCAAGTTTTGAAATGAACGACGGTCGGTTCGGTTCGGAGGAGCACATTATGGGTCTCTTCCGGTTCGGGCATGAATTTTTGGACCCGTGAAGACCTCTACTTCCAGCGCCCTGGGCAAGCCTCCTAACCCCTCTTTCCCTTCTTGGCGATGAGACAGGGCTTACCCAGAGATTGTCATTATTGTTCTGAATAACCCCTTTATAGTGACAAATATTAGACAACGCTGGGAAAGCGTGCCCCCCCCCCCCTTCTTTTACAAAGGAGGGAACGCTGCGGAATCCACATCTTTAGAGGTATAGTGAAAGATACTGTATGGACTAGCCTTGTGAGGGCTGTGCAATACGGGGTCCCTGAATGGCTCTCACCATTCAGAGGATAACAACACTGACAGGGACGGCAGGACGAATTCTGCCAGGAGAAACACTGGCTTCAATAAGAGCTTGCCGTGGAACAAGCATGTGGAACCTGTTGAAGGTCACACATATGGGCATCCAGGCCTAGAGCAAACTCTCAAAGATACATCAGTCGTAAGCCTGGCACCGGACGCTCCGCAACGACCAGACACCACAGGATGATTGGAGGACTCACAGGGTCTGCTAAGAGAGCTCTCTGGAGAATTCTAGTGCACTTGTGGGAGCAGCAAGGCGACACTAACCCGGGGCCCCCTCGTGTCTCTGACCGTTTGAGGCAAGAACATGGGATGCGGCCGGATCGTATTGTCTCCCATAAGCTTGTGAGCCTTCTCTGTGCAAGCCTTCCACTGGTCTAGGTATGATTCTCGCATCAACCTCTCACATGCTAAGCAAGCGCTCTACCATTTGAGCTAACTCCCCTTGATGATGTGGAGAGAAGGTGTCCATGGTTCTCAAAGACAACGGCGTGGAGCGATCCCTAGCATGTGTGCAAGCAGGGGCGCAACTACCCAGTTTCAGAGGGGTATGCAGCAACAATTTTAGCGCCCCCCAAAAGGAAAAATAAATGTAATGTAAGTGTGCTGTGTAATAAGCGAGTAGGAAGAAATGAGAGCTAACAGAAAAAAATAAGTGCAAAATTGTCGTTTATTAACACAATTAAACTAGCTACTCCACCTTGATGAACCCCCCTTTCTCTAGGGGAGTTCGGGGGCATGCTCCCCCGTAAGAAAATGTTGTGTTCTGTAATGTTAAATTCAGCAGTCTGGTGCACTTTGAGAGTTCAAAATTAAAAGCTCCAACCCATATTCAGGGTGCAAATTAAACAAAGAAGCGTGATGAGAGCGTGGTGATAATAACGCCAAGGTTGCGGGTTCGATCCCTGTATGGGCTATGCTTTTGCTCTCTGCTAATCTCGAAAGTGACGTGCAGTCTCCCAGAATTCCCTTCTGGACAAACTATTGGCCAGTAGACCTGGCCGAAATAGCTCAGTTGGGAGAGGGTTAGATTGAAGATCTAAAGGTTCCTGGTTCAATTCCGGGTTTTGGCAGAGCAACCTGGTCACTGTGTTTTTGGTCGATGGCCTCCAGTTACCAAATGCCACCTACTGTCAACCTGATGCCTCATCGCTATCTGCCTTTCAAACGGCCAGGGACCAGTGAGTCGTGGTTCCATGGTGTAATAGTTAGCACTCTGGGCTTTAAATCCAGCAATCCGAGTTTAAATGTTGGTGGAACCTTTTTAGCTTGTTTTGTGGAAGGCTGGGAAAAAACAGAGCTGATGCGCAACCGCTGATGTGCCGGTGAAACGGGCACTCTGATACCCAGTCGGGATCAGGGAAACATGGGCTTAAAAAGAAAAAGCTTCACTTGCTCTTTGCTGTCGCGCTTCTAGGCTGAATTACTAAACACCTCTGCTGCTCAGTGGGAAAAAGCCACCCACACCAAGGTTCCATGGTGTAATGGTTAGCACTCTGGACTCTGAATCCAGCGATCCGAGTTCAAATCTCGGTGGGACCTGTGCTTTTGACAGGAATGTGCACAGGACCTCGTCCCAAAACAAACTTTGACAGCGCTGATTTGAATTGAGCGGTGAGGTGGTAGGCCTATTCTGTGTGGTTTACTACAATTTAGTTTACTGTATACTATTTAGTTTACTTTTTTATTATTTTACAGCAGAGACGTTAAGAAAATATACAATGTTATCATGTGAAAAGCAATACTTATCAGTATGTGAAAAGTTAACAATAGCTTTAAATACTGATACAGGCAAATTATCAGTACTGGTGCAACTCGACCTCAGTGCTGCATTTGACACTGTCGATCACGACATACTTCTTGACAGGCTGGAAAACTGGGTGGGGCTTTCTGGGATAGTCCTAAAATGGTTCAGGTCATAATTAGAAGGGAGAGGTTATTATGTGACCATAGGAGACCATAAGTCTGAGTGGACATCCATGACTTGCGGAGTCCCTCAAGGGGCTCTTACACCACTCCTGTTCAACCTGTATATGCTCCAAATGAGCCAAGAACCAAATAGCTTACAGTACCACAGCTATGCAGATGACACACAGCTCTACTTAACCCTATTGCCTAGCGACTACAGCCCCATTGACTCCCTCGTCAATGCATTGATCACAGTTGGATGTGCCAAAACTTTCTTCAGTTAAACAAAGACAACTGAAGACATTTGGAAACAAAGATAAAGTTCTCAAGGTGAATGCATACCTTGACGCTAGGGGTCTAACAACTAAAAATCAAGTCAGGAATCTTGGTGTGACTCTAGAGTCAGACCTTTGTTTCAGTAGTTATGTCAAAGCAACAACTAAATCAGCATATTATCACCTGAAAAATATTGCTGGAATTAGATGTTTTGTTTCCACTCAAGACTTAGAGAAATGTTCATGCTTTTATCACCAGCAGGGGGGATTACTGTAATGGACTCCTCACTTACCCCTTTTCCACCAAGGCAGAGCTGGTGCTGGTTCGGAGCCAGAGCCTAGTTTCAAATCAGTTCTTTGTTTTTCGGACACCAACACCAAAGCACCAGCTCCAAACCAGTAAAAGTGGTTCTTAAGGCCGTGTGTCCACCAAAGCGTTTTTTAGCCAGCTGAAAACGCTAGACGCTCTGCTGAAGACGCCGTGCTTTGGGGCTTGAGAGCGTTTTGGCAGCGCAGCGTTTTTTCCGTTGAGACGTTTCGTTGCTATGATACAGAATATCCGCAGCAGTTGAATGTTGTGACAGTTGGTCTGTGTGGTATTGGTCCCGCCCCTCCTCCACTGTGATTGGACGGCTGGGTAAAAAGTGACAGTGATGAGTGCTGCGTTTTATCCAAAGTTGAACATTTTTCAACTCCCAGCAACCAGTAAAAACCGCTGGGCGCTCGGCGCTTCAGCGTGAAAAAAACGCTCAGCGCCTCGGCACGCTCATGGCGTTTAAAAAACGCGGCGCTCCCATTGAAAACAATTGAAAACATACGCCAGGCGCGTGGAAAACCGCTTTGGTGGACACACGGCCTAAGTAGCACCAAATCATTGCTGGTCTAGAAGTAAGAACCACTTACGTCAGCGGCTGGGGGCGGGGTTACCTTGACCAACAAGACGAATAGAAACTTGTGACCACCATTTTTTAAATAGCAGCTAATCATGCTAATAGCAGCTGGATTGTAATCTCTGTTAATGCAAGTTATGGCGAGCTGCACGGACGTGCTGGATTCGCCGTGTTTGGATACCGATGTTGGTTCGCAAAGCCATGAGCATAAATAGTAACGCAACAACCACCATTGTTGATGTAAGGCTTGTTCGAGATGCATCGGAGCGGCATGGACTGATTGGAGCTGTGGGAGTGTTTGGAGAGCATACGACTCCTGCTTTGAATCGAATCTTTTTCTAATGTTTTCTCGAATCACTCTCGCAGTTCGAGATTCACAGTGCCGAACCATCTCGAACAAGCCCGGTGTGTTTGTGTGTGCCGCGCTAGCGTTTCTGGGCAACATGAGATGTACAGTGACGTACGATCTGGCTCTGTGATGGCTCTCTAGCCCGTGGAAAGGCAAACCGGTTCTTTGAAAGCTCGTCATTCGAACCAACTCTGTACCAGCACTAGCTCTAGCTCTGAACCAGCACCTGGTTCTTGTTGGTGGAAAAGGGGTAACTAGCCTTCCTAAAAAGACCATAAGACTGTTGCAGCTCATTCAGAACGCAGAGCAAAACCAGAACATACCAGCACATCACACCAGTCTTTACACTGGCTCCCAGTTACATTTAGCATTGATTTTAAAGTATTTTTACTGGTATATAAATCATTCAATGGGCTAGGACCTCAATATATTGCAGATATGCTCACTGAATATAAACCTAACAGATCACTCAGATCATTAGGATCACATAAGCTAGAAATACCAAGGGTTCACTCTAAGCACGGAGAGTCTGCTTTTATGCTGGAACAACTTCCAGAGGAGATCAGATGCTCCTACAGCTTTTTTGACTGTTTTTACTGTACTTTATTTTATTTATTTATTCTAAACTGTTTTAATTATTCTCATTTGTTTTGATTATTTTAATTTCTTCTATGTAAAGCAATACCAATACCATGAATTACCATTGTGTATGAAATGTGCTAAAAAAAATAAAGTTACCTTGCCTTGCGGTGCCTTTGCAAGAAGGTTTCAAACATCTTGGAGATGTTGCTGCAGTTCTACTGGATTTAGTCTGTCTCAGTTTTTTTATTTCTTCATGTAATCACAGACAGGCTCGATGATGGAGAGATCAGATCATATTCATTCTGGCTCGTCACTCCTTGTGCAAACAAAAATATCTCACTGGATTATTACCATTAATGCCAAAATGAATGTTTGGAAATGTAAGCTGACACACTACAGCAAAATATATAAATAACTGGCTTAAAACTATTTTTTAGAGGTTTGAAAATACAAAAGTTTTGCACAGTAGTGTATACAGACTTTTGGATGCACACGCAAAACTTTATTGTGCCCTTGAGAAACTATTCACATTACAATTTTTAATTTTATATACTATAACCTAATCTATGAAGAAAAAGATTAAATATGCACATGAATTAATAGAAATATATGCCTATTTGCTCCATTTTGGCTTTTCTTGGGGTAGTACCTCCAATATCAAGGCCTAATGACCGATTTAAAGGGATAGTTCACTTTGAAATTAATTTTTGATATGTTTTAGCTTACCTCAAGGGCATCCAAGATGTATGTGTCTTTGTTTCCACAGTATTTTCAATTTTGATATTTTTAGGTGAAACCATTGTTGTCTGTCAGTCATATAATGCAGGTCTATGGTCACCACCTCAAAGAGCATGCACAGAGAAGTCCAAATTAAACATGATTTAATGACTCATAAATGTAAGTACACACTGATGGCCTAAGACACGAAACGAGCGGTTTGTGTGAGAAAACGAATTTCCTTCCGAAATCTCCGTGTAAACAATGCGTGACGTAGACGCGCGAGAGATCACTTCTGGCGGAAGGTTGGACACGGTTCAATTCGGTTCAGTTGGACATCTGATTCAGATCAGTTCAACATTGCTGTTAACAAGAGGTAAACACAATATAAATACTGTTCGTTTTCTCACACAAACCCCTCGTTTCGTGTCTTATTCCATCAGTTTGTACTTGCATTCACAAGTCATTAAATCATGTTTCATTTTGACTTCTCTCTGCATGCTCTTTGAGGTGGACCCCCATACCTGCATTATATGACTGACAGACAACACTGTTTTGACCGAAAAATGTCACAAATTGAAAATACTGTGGAAAAAAGACACCTATATCTTGGATACCCTTGAGGTAAGCTAAAACATACCAAAAATTTATTTCAAAGTGAACTATCCCTTTAAATCGGTCCTTTGTGGCAGCAGAGAAACCATGACACGAAATGGGCTGATGGCACAAAATGACTGTGTGCATTGTCCTATTTGCCAAGTTCAAGGGTCTATAAAAAAAACTGTCGCTTAAAAAAAGTGATCAAAATTTGGCTTTTATTAGGGCAGTGCATTATCCTATTTCAATGCCTTAAGTCTGCTTTAACACATACTCTATGGCAAACTACACAGTGAAATGGGCTGATGGTGCAGTAGGTGGCTCAGTGTCCACTGTCTAAGTTTAATGGTTTCTCATGTGCACACAAAAGTCTGCATATTTTTTATTTTTGCGAGATCCTTTTAGTGGTTCTGTAAGAATGCTAAAAATATCATGAGAAGAACCCCAACATGCATATAACCTGCATTTTTGCATAATGAAAAAATGCACCATAAATTCATTCGGTACTGCAAATATTTTTCCATACTCTGCTTTCCTTTTTCCATAATTTTCCAGACCTGGAAATTACTCAAATCAAATTCCATACTTTTCCAAACTACGTACTAGGAACCCTGTGGGATAGTATTCGATTTCGGGATAAAGTGTTCCTCTAATTTAAAAGTGACAGTCTGAACTGTACATGGGTAGTTGACACATAATATGGACATGAAATTCTACATCAAGGTTTTTGGTTAATTTTAATATGAAGGAGAGTGAAATTTTATTTAGCATTAGCAAGTTTTCAAACCATTTAAAATCACCCTTTTGTAGCTCACTAAAATAGTCCCTTGCTGTGACAGATATTAACTTTTAGTTAGGCGTTATATTGCAGAAGACTCTCAACTACTTACTGAAATTAACTTAATTGCAAATTATTAGTGCTGTCAAAATTAATTGCATCTATCATAAAAGTTTGTAAATATATCATGTGTAGCCTACATGCATACACAAATATAATAATTTACAATATTTTATGTTAGAGTATACATTTTTTGTTTTTTAAACACACTTATTTGAGGAAGTTAGCAAATTAAATTCTAAACCCAGTATTTATATTTCATCAGTCTCAACCAACTAAACTTTTTTATTCGATTAAATGTCTTTGTTTGATAAAATTAAGATCGATAACTGCAAATGCTATGATGTAATAAACATTATGTGTTTTCATTCGACGATAGATTTTTTTTTTTTGTAAAATTGTTTGTTTTCTTTCAACGATAGGTTAAAAAATTTACTAAACTTTTTATCATGGTCTTACTTTTAAAGGTTTTATCATGGTCTCTAACCCACGAGCATGGGTCAAAATAGCATGATAATGCAGCAGTAACCTTGCACACTTTACCTTTGGCGGGTTTCTGGCAAAAAAAAGGGGAAAAAGCAACATTTCTATATTTACAGACGCATATTCTAATCAATTTTCACAATCTAGCAGCTTATCGCTGACCTGTATCCAGGACAACTGCCCGCCCTTTCCTTCGCCCCCGCCATTTCGACGTGGTTACGCTTGCCAAAATCACATGACCTCTCTCAGCCAATCAGAAGCGGCTCCTCCGGTTGAGTTTCGGGTTTAAAACTGTATCGGTTAAATTTGTAACAAGTTGTGAGAGTTTGCCTGAGTCCTTCTTTCACGGTTTAATTAATCCGAATATTGTCATAGCTGTCTACATTTATCAATCTAATATGGCTCATAAACAGATCTACTACTCGGATAAATACACAGATGATCACTATGAATACAGGTAAGGAGGTTTGAACTGCTTCAAGGCCTCGTTCGTTCCGGCGTTTATCTTTAAATATCATTCATTTAATTTCACATCAGTGTACTTACTCCTTGTGAATTGCTTAATAATGTTAGGTAATATATTTGAGCGGCATGTTTTAACATATACACAAAGCTATGGATATGATTGTCTGCAATGTGCTTTGAGTCTAGTGACGTCACTTTTCAGGCAGCATGTTCATGTCATTCACGGTATTTGTTATTTGAATGTTGTCATTTGTGATGGCAGACATGTGGTGTTACCGCGAGAACTGGCCAAACAAGTGCCCAAATCTCACCTGATGTCGGAGGATGAGTGGAGGAGGCTGGGTGTGCAGCAGTCACTGGGATGGGTGCATTACATGATCCATGAACCAGGTCTGTATACAAACACATAAATTCATCAGTGTGTGAGTGAGTGAGTGTGCTCTGATCCAGAGTCAGCTGACCTTTGACCATGTGATCTCAAGATCCATTTACCCCAATTCTGTTACTTAAATTAATCTAAAGGGATAGTTCACCCTAAAATGAAAACTGTTTCATTAATTACTCACCCTCATGTCGAAGACTTTCATTCATCTTCAGAACACAAATAAAGATCTTTTGGATGAAATCTGAGAGCTTTGTGCTCCTCCATTGACAACTAGCCTAGCACTCTAGTGCTTCAATAAGTTCGTAAAGAAATTTTAAAACTAATCCATATGATTGCGAGCGGTTTAGTACAAATTTCTGAAGAGACTCGATCGGTTTATGATGAACGGATTGAGTTTAGGCTTTTATTTACATATAAACATTCAACTAAAACATCAGTTAAATTGTGGTAAACGGAAATTCAAGCATGCACGAACGTTACGCAGCATGTTTGAGCTTTAGCAAGAACCATTGAGGTTCATTCTCATGTTACGCATCACATTTAAGCTTCAGCAAGAACCAATGAGGTTCATTCTCGTGTTATGCATCACATTGGAGCTTCTGCAAGAACCAATGAGAATCATTCTCAAGTTACGCATCACGTAACTTGAGCTTCAGCAAGAACCAATGAGGTTCATTCTCGTGTTATGCATCACGTTGGAGCTTTTGCAAGAACCAATGAGTTTCATTCTCGTGTTACGCATCACGTTTGAGCTTCAGCAAGAACCAATGAGGTTCATTCTCATGTTATGCATCATGTTTTGAGCTTCAGAAAGAACCAATGAGGTTTGTTCTTGCACGCCAAGCAGGTTCGGTTAAGTTTCTGTTGGCTGATCAATGTTTATATGTGAATAAAATTCTAAATTCAATCCGTCCATCATTATTTAATCAAGTCTCTTAAGAGGACTTAACCGCTCAATTCATATGAATTAGTTTTATGATCTCTTTATGAACTTACTGAAGCGCTAAAGGTAGTGGTCAATGGAGGGACAGAAATCTCTCCGATTTCATCAAAAAGATCTTCATTTGTGTTTCGAAGATGAACGAAAGTCTTACAGGTTTGAGTCTTACAGGTAGAGTCTTCATTTTAGGGTGAACTATCCCTTTAAGTTTTGATCAAATAAATGATATATGACATTTGCTTCTGTATTTATTTTTCCAGAACCGCATATTCTGCTGTTTAGAAGACCTCTACCAAAATAATGACTGTGACAAGTGTCGCCTGCTCTTCTGGAACATTCCTGTGGTTGAACGTGATATTCAGTGAATACTGGAGAACTTCACCTCGTTTCTGGACTCCTTTGACCATGATTTATGCTTGGACAGAATCAAGGGATTATGGGAATTTTTCAGTAAAAATTCAAGGGCTCTTAACTAAAAAAAGAAAAAGAAAAAAAAAGCATGTGACCCAAGTGCCTCTCTGGGTGAAGCTAAACCTTTGTGTGTTGAATAAAAGTCTGTGACGCATCATCAGTGTTTAGAAACCTAAATCAGTGTTTATATGGCTGAACTAAAGGATAATGCTGAATATTTTTGGGGATAAAAAGATGTACTGTATGTTAAAGGGAAATAATTTGTGTGTATCTAGGAAATGAAGATTCTTAGTTATTCAACGTTAATTGTCCAGGGAAGGCAAGTGTATACTTTAAAAGAGCTTTGTCGTTTAAATTACGATACAAAATTTGAACCATCTGTTAAAAAGTAGTTATAGAACAACCATAATGACAGCACTATCAGCTACTGCGCTTTGTGAAAACAGGGTTTTTACTGAGAAAAGAACAAGTTTATACCTTTTAAAACAACCTTACTTTTCAAAAAGAATAGGATTATGACTTTTTATATTCTTGCTGCTCTTTATAATAAAATTGAAATGCCGCCTCGTACCTGTTTTCTGCGTTGTTCCTCTGCCAGCACAACTCTGCTTTCACCACACGATGGCGCCACATCGAAACTAATGCAGTGGTTCGTTTTGAATAACAATATACCAAATACAGTGATAACGCTTTATTTGAAAGTTCTCTGAATGGCTAAAAATTAGACAACATATATAAAAAAAATTTCAGACACTACTTTAACAAACGTTACGTTTTAAAATTCTCTTAACATTTTGAAACATTAAAAGTCATTAGACGATTCAGGGTGGGAAACGATGTGTGCTAGAATTTATTTATGTTTTTTAATAATTATAATAATGTATTATTTATATAGCCTATAAACAATGTTTTTTGTGCTACCATTTTGAGAACATTAATTACTGAACAAACGTTCAATTAATGTTACAGGTGAAATGTTTGTTCATAACTTTGTGGAAGTTCTGAGATAATTCCCTGTGGGCAGTGGATTTTATATGATGATGATGGTAGATTTATATTTGTTGATCAAAACGATAAATAGTTTAATTAGTTACCTTTTACATTTGTCATTATGTGGTCAACCATTACTGACAGTAGGCCTAATAGCTTTGGGTTACAGTAAAGGCTGACGGAAGAATCACTCAGGCCTATAAATGGTCATCATTTATACAGCATTTTTGTCTTTGATCAGATTTCTAGTAGTGTCGTTTTTAGTATTGATGACAGGAGTCCTGTTTTGTTTCTCAAAGCTAAAGCAGATATAAAAGATTTGAGTGAATTTTGCTGCTAAACATCCAGACATCCAATTCCTGGCTTTACCTGAAACATATTTAAGACTTCAATCAGAGTCAAAATCACAAAAGCCACTAGTTCTGGACTCTAAACAGGCCTGTTCATTGGGTTCAGTTGATAATAAAGCTGTTATTAAGTTTTTTTTAATTGAATGAAAATGAACTCCCTCACCTGTGGCCGGATCTTTCTCTCATTTTCTGTTTGTGAGACCACCACTTCCGGTATGTGGCAAAACACCTTCCTGATGAATATAGGAGTGTGAAAACCACGATACAAAACAACTCAACATTTACTCACATAACAAAGGTCCTGTTTTCAAATGAACGCATTTAAGAATTGGTTGCTGATCTATCAAATGTGTTTTAATTTTTAAATTATTAAAATAATTTAAGATCCTCATCCTTTTAGAAAACAATGTGTTCAGAAGAGAATTAAAGGCTTTTTGGTGAAATTCTCATGTCCAGGTCACATAAATAAAGTCTCGAACCCCACACTGGTTTTATTAGCTCGCATCAGAAAAGGGTTATGTTTTAAAATTATTTCATTTAAGAATCTCGAGGAATTGAAAGAATTATTAATAATTTTTTTGACAACAGCAGCATAATACTGTGTAAAATGTTGCATGCAGTGGCTGAAAGGGATATCTGGCTTATAACCATTGATTCAAATATTATTTTTAAAAAAATGAGTCAGTTGTTTTATTTGTTATAATAATGCATTGACAAAGCACATTGTGATGACATCATCTTTGACCAGGCTGTCATATATATATATATATATATATATATATATATATATGAACATGCAAAAACAAGAGATAATTTAAATTTTTAATAACTGATTATGTTGTGGTCAATGTATGCTTTTCCATATGTTTTTTTTTTGTTGTTTTGCGTAGTAAAATAAAACCTGTAGTTTATCCTTTTTTGCGAAATACTTTTGTCAGATAGCTAAATACATATATACTGTAAGTTTAGTGTAAGTTTTTCCCTTAAATTTCAAATATTAAATATATATTATATTCCTCATGTTTTGATTGAATCAAACTTGTACGGTCATAAAAACAAATATCCGCTCTGAACATCACTTGCATGCAAGTTTTCAAAACATTGGTGGCTGAAAATGTGGTTTAAAACAAGCTTATCTGGGGTTTTATGAGGATGGTTGAATGTTAACCAGTAAAAACTGAGACTTCACCTTCCCAAAGCCACACTGTTTATGTGTTCAGAGGTGAACACTGATTGTAATAGGCTGTTAAGTGTGTGTGTTACAGGGTCTAAAGAGGTCAACCGTTTGGATCAGGTGAAAATTTGATGAATGTGCCTTTCATTGACAGTTGATTGTGTGGGTCAGTTAATAGTCTTCACACACTCTCTGGACGATCATACTCTGGTCTCTGAGGTCAGAGGCCAGGAAGAGGACGCCATTGACCTTCTCATGGAGAGGAGCCACACAACTTCATTTAGAGTTGTGCAAACAACTTGAAGAGATAATGATTAGTGAGTTTTATAGGCTATTATATGATTGTTATAGTACGTTTTTTCCCCTGTAAACAAAGTTTCCTTCAGAATATCTTGAACACAAGATACAGCTCAGAACAGGAGTTGAGGATGTGAAGGACTGCTCCAGATACATTCAAATGACAAATAATAGAAATATTATTTATTGGGGTTGCAACCTCTAATTTGTAGGACAAAAAATATATTCTATCTATAGCAACATCCTTGATATGCATTGAAAATCTGCTTAAAGAAACACACTGGATTATTTCAGTAACACAACAGGAGGCTACAAACACAGATACTGCTTCACTAACATGAGCCGCTGTGCCTGCTCTCGAGGATGGAAGCGCTACAAATAGAAGCGTTGCAGAAAGCGGTTGTCATCAGTCTCGCTGTCTGCACCTGTCTCTCTGCGTACGTCCTCCACAACTGTTTCAAACCGCCTGCAATCCCCGACGTTCTCCAGTGGGATCTCGGATCCGGAGGAACGGGGACAGGCTGAAGGACACGGAGCCGCTGAGAGAGTGTGTGTGCATCATGGACCTGAAGCACTACACACCAGCAGTGTGAGGATGTGAGTGTGTGTGTGTGTGTGAGTGAGTGCTCTCGTCCAAGCGTCCCTCCCTGGAGCCAGACAACGATGCCATGATGAGCGATAATGAGTCGGTTCAGAGAACACCCTGTCCATCACAGCTCTCCTACAGGACGAGAACAACTGTGATCAACAACAAATACACCATCATCATGTGTTGACCCTAATCCATCCTACAGACATCTAACCTCAAATTCACATGTCCAGGTCAATATACTGTATGAAGAGTTCAGATGCAAAAGCCTCTAAATGCCATTTGAAATTTTCTTCTTTAATTATGATTTTTATCAAACTTGTATATTTAAGTTCAGTAATTTCACTTAAATGGCAATGATAATTACCTATTAATTGTTATTTAAGTGAAATTATTGAACTTAAATATACAAGTTTGATAAAAATCATCATTAAAGAAGTAAATTTCAAATGGCATTTAGAGACTTTTGCATCTGAACTCTTCATATATATATACAGTGAGGAAAATAAGTATTTGAACACCCTGCTATTTTGCAAGTTCTCCCACTTAGAAATCATGGAGGGGGCTGAAATTGTCATCATAGGTGCATGTCCACTGTGAGAGACAAAATCCAGAAATCACAATATATGATTTTTTTTTTTTAACTATTTATTTGTAGCTATGATACAGCTGCAAATACGTATTTGAACACCTGGCTATAAGCAAGAATTCTGACCCTCAAAGACCTGTTAGGGCCGGTTCACATATCGCGTCTTTTGCGCGCTCAAGTTCGTTATTTCAAATGTAGGCGCACGGGATGCGCGCTCATAATGGAAGCGGTGCGGCGCGCTCGTTTTTTCCATGCGCGTCCGCGCCGCGTCGAGATAAAAACATCTCAACTTTTCAGAATACCGCAAGCGCACCATACGCACACAATAGGTCATGTGACAAGAACCAACTGAAGCGCAACCGCCCTGGCGCTTTGCAAAATGGAGAATGCGGCTCGCCCTGCGTTTTCTACGCGTTTTTAGGCGCTATATGTGAATCCGGCCTTAAGGCCATTGCACACCGAGCACGAAATATTCGTATGCGTATTTTCGTGTTCGTCAGCTTAAAAATTCGTCACGCATAGAAACCTTGCACACCGAGTCCGTTGCGTATTTCTTAAACCTTTGCGGGGAAAAACGCAAAAATACCAAATGGATTCGTCAAGCAGTGAGGATGATTTTTGCCCTCTTTCTTATTGAAAAGGGAAGAAAGAGAAAATATTACGTCCATCCAATCCTGAAATTGCGCCGAGAGGAAGGAGAGTTCCTTATCAAGGAGTTGCGAATTTATCCGATGCTTTGCTAGCGATCCTGGAGCCATATTAAAAACAAGACCACCAATTTCCGTGAACCAATCGATTCTGAACAGAGACTGGCAGTGTGTCTGAAATGGACCAGGTATGGACACACATACACGGACACACACACACACCCGCGCGCGGCCCGTTGGAAGCGCTGGGCAGACAGAACAGCTAGGCTGTTATTGTGTATACTGTATTGTGCCCAAATAATACATTAGTTATCGAATAGGCTGCTCAATCACACCTTATTCGATCCTAAATTTCAATCTGATTGAAAGGGGAGGTTTATTAATTTCATAATCCAATATAGAGAAGAGAACATAAACACTTGATCGAATTGAAAACCGAAACTGAAAGCACGGCGCATATGTGCAATGATTTGAGGACGAGCTCCCCCCGGCCCTGAATTGTCAAAAGACCTCTCAAAATGCTGGCTCTGGATGCGAAAAACGCAGAAAATCGAACCCGATCCGATTAATTTTATGACGGACGAAAGTTTCGGAGGCGGTGTGCAAGCGTGACTGACATAACGTGAGGTCGAATTTTTTTTTTAACGTGCGAAAATTTCGGATGCGAATTTCGGACTCGGTGTGCAATGGCCTTTAGTCTGCCTTTAAAACCTCCACTTAGATGCACCCGGTTGAGGTCGTTAGCTGCATAAAGACACCTGTCCACCCCATACAATCAGTAAGAATCCAACTACTAACATGGCCAAGACCAAAGAGCTGTCCAAAGACACTAGAGACAAAATTGTATACGTCCACAAGGCTGGAAAGGGCTACGGGGAAATTGCCAAGAAGCTTGGTGAAAAAAGGTCCAGTGTTTGAGCAATCATTAGAAAAT